AAGCTCCGACACATCCCTAGTAGCTTCGACCGTCAAAATTGTCGTCTCCAGAAAACAGTATCAAAATATTTATGAAAAAACTGACATGTTTTCAAAATTTTTGTTTTCGGATTTACTCGGGGAAAAAACTGCGCGAATTCTGGGTTTGGAACAAAACTCACCAATTATAAATGAGAGCTTAAGGACGATTCTGACCGTTAATACGGATAACAAGCTCCGAAACATCCCTAGTAGCTTCGACCGTCAAAATTGTCGTCTCCAGAAAACAGTATCAAAATATTTATGAAAAAGCTGACATGTTTTCAAAATTTTTGTTCTCGGATTTACTCGGGGAAAAAACTGCGCGAATTCTGGGTTTGGAACAAAACTCACCAATTATAAATGAGAGCTTAAGGACGATTCTGACCGTTAATAAGGATAACAAGCTCCGAAACATTCCTAGTAGCTTCGACCGTCAAAATTGTCGTCCCGAGTAAACAGTATCAAAATATTTATGAAAAAACTGACATGTTTTCAAAATTTTTGTTCCCGGATTTCCTCGGGGGAAAAACTGCGTGAATTCTGGGTTTGAAACAGAACTCACCCATTATAAATGAGGGCTTAAGGACGATTCTGACCGTTAATACGGATAACAAGCTCCGAAACATCCCTAGTAGCTTCGACCGTCAAAATTGTCGTCCCGAGTAAACAGTATCAAAATGTTCATAAAAAGACTGACATGTTTTCCAAATTTTTGTTCTTGGATTTACTCGTGGGAAAAACTGCGTGAATTCTAGGGTTGGAACAAAACTCACTAATTATAACTGAGAGCTTAAGGACGATTCTGACCGTTAATACGGATACCAAGCTCCGAAACATTTCTAGTAGCTTCGACGGTCAAAATTGCCGTCTCGTGAAAACAGTATCAAAATATTTATGAAAAAACTGACATGTTTTCAAAATTTTTGTTCCCGGATTTCCTCGGGGGAAAAACTGCGTGAATTCTGGGTTTGAAACAGAACTCACCCATTATAAATGAGAGCTTAAGGACGATTCTGACCGTTAATACGGATAACAACCTCCGAAACATCCCTAGTAGCTTCGACCGTCAAAATTGTCGTCCCGAGTAAACAGTATCAAAATATTTATGAAAAAACTGACATGTTTTCAAAATTTTTGTTCTCGGATTTACTCGAGGGACAAACTGCGCGAATTCTGGCTTTGAAACAGAACTCACCCATTATATATGAGAGCGTAAGGACGATTCTGACCGTAAGTACGGATAACAAGCTCCGGAACATTCCTAGTAGCTTCCACCGTCAAAATTGCCGTCTCGAGAAAGCAGTATCGCAATATTTATAAAAAAACTGACATGTTTTCAAAATTTTTGTTCCCGGATTTACTCGGGGAAAAAACTGCGCGAATTCTGGCTTTGAAACAGAACTCACCCGTTATAAATGAGGGCTTAAGGACGATTCTGACCGTTAATACGGATAACAAGCTCCGAAACATCCCTAGTAACTTCGACCGTCAAATTTATCGTCCTGAGTAAACAGTATCAAAATGTTCATAAAAAACTGACATGTTTTCCAAATTTTTGTTCTTGGATTTACTCGTGGGAAAAACTGCGTGAATTCTAGGTTTGGAACAAAACTCACTAATTATAACTGAGAGCTTAAGGACGATTCTGACCGTTAATACGGATAACAAGCTCCGAAACATCCCTAGTAGCTTCGACCGTCAAAATTGCCGTCTCGTGAACACAGTATCAAAATATTTATGAAAAAACTGACATGTTTTCAAAATTTCTGTTCCCGGATTTCCTCGGGGGAAAAACTGCGTGAATTCTGGGTTTGAAACAGAACTCACCCATTATAAATGAGAGCTTAAGGACGATTCTGACCGTTAATACGGATAACAAGCTCCGAAACATCCTTAGTAGCTTCGACCGTCAAAATTGCCGTCTCGTGAAAACAGTATCAAAATGTTTATGAAAAAACGGACATGTTTTCCAAATTTTTGTTCTCGGATTTACTCGGGGGAAGAACTGCGCGAATTCTGGGTTTGGAACAAAACTCACTCATTATAAATGAGAGCTTAAGGACGATTCTGACCGTTGATACGGATAGCAAGCTGCGAAACATCCCTAGTAGCTTCGACCGTCAAAATTGTCGTCCCGAGTAAACAGTATCAAAATATTTATGAAAAAACTGACATGTTTTCAAAATTTTTGTTCCCGGATTTCCTCCGGGGAAAAATTGCGTGAATTCTGGGTTTGAAACAGAACTCACCCATTATAAATGAGAGCTTAAGGACGATTCTGACCGTTAATACGGATAACAAGCTCCGAAACATTCCTAGTAGCTTCGACCGTCAAAATTATCGTCCCGAGTAAACAGTATCAAAATGTTCATAAAAAACTGACATGTTTTCCAAATTTTTGTTCTTGGATTTACTCGTGGGAAAAACTGCGTGAATTCTAGGGTTGGAACAAAACTCACTAATTATAACTGAGAGCTTAAGGACGATTCTGACCGTTAATACTTATAACAAGCTCCGACACATCCCTAGTAGCTTCGACCGTCAAAATTATCGTCCCGAGTAAACAGTATCAAAATGTTCATAAAAAACTGACATGTTTTCCAAATTTTTGTTCTTGGATTTACTCGTGGGAAAAACTGCGTGAATTCTAGGGTTGGAACAAAACTCACTAATTATAACTGAGAGCTTAAGGACGATTCTGACCGTTAATACGGATACCAAGCTCCGAAACATTTCTAGTAGCTTCGACCGTCAAAATTATCGTCCCGAGTAAACAGTATCAAAATGTTCATAAAAAACTGACATGTTTTCAAAATTTTTGTTCCCGGATTTCCTCGGGGGAAAAACTGCGTGAATTCAGGGTTTGAAACAGAACTCACCCATTATAAATGAGAGCTTAAGGACGATTCTGACCGTTAATACTGATAACAACCTCCGAAACATCCCTAGTAGCTTCGACCGTCAAAATTGTCGTCCCGAGTAAACAGTATCAAAATATTTATGAAAAAACTGACATGTTTTCAAAATTTTTGTTCTCGGATTTACTCGAGGGACAAACTGCGCGAATTCTGGCTTTGAAACAGAACTCACCAACTATAACTGAGAGCTTAACGACGATTCTAACCGTTAATACTGATAACAAGCTCCGAAACATCCCTAGTAGCTTCGACCGTCAAAATTGTCGTCCCGAGTAAACAGTATCAAAAAAATTTTTGAAAAAACGGACATGTTTTCCAAATTTTTGTTCTCGGATTTACTCGGGGAAAAAACTGCGCGAATTCTGGCTTTGAAACAGAACTCACCCGTTATAAATGAGGGCTTAAGGACGATTCTGACCGTTAATACGGATAACAAGCTCCGAAACATCCCTAGTAACTTCGACCGTCAAATTTATCGTCCTGAGTAAACAGTATCAAAATGTTCATAAAAAACTGACATGTTTTCAAAATTTTTGTTCTCGGATTTACTCGAGGGACAAACTGCGCGAATTCTGGCTTTGAAACAGAACTCACCCATTATAAATGAGAGCTTAAGGACGATTCTGACCGTAAGTACGGATAACAAGCTCCGGAACATTCCTAGTAGCTTCGACCGTCAAAATTGCCGTCTCGAGAAAGCAGTATCACAATATTTATAAAAAAACTGACATGTTTTCCAAATTTTTGTTCTCGGATTTACTCGGGGGAAGAACTGCGCGAATTCTGGGTTTGGAACAAAACTCACTCATTATAAATGAGAGCTTAAGGACGATTCTGACCGTTAATACGGATAACAAGCTCCGAAACATCCCTAGTAGCTTCGACCGTCAAAATTGTCGTCCCGAGTAAACAGTATCAAAATATTTATGAAAAACTGACATGTTTTCCTAATTTTTGTTCTTGCGAATTATTTCGCATCATTTGGTGTTCCCGATTGTTAGATATCAATGGTCCTATTAACTTCAAAAATTAAAAAATTAAAAAATTTGATTGGGTTTGTTTAGTACCAATGGTGCGCCTAACGTATCCAATAATGGTCAAGGGGCTGTTTAATTAACATCAATTGATGCAAAAAATTCGTTAACAACCAGACGGACGGACAAGAGGAATTCAATAGCTCCCGTGCTATGCAGGGCGAGCTAATAAACCGTAGTAACGTTAGAAGTAGCTCACCCTGGAATAATTAGTTGGATATAATTTTGCATCAAAGGTGCAAAATAAGCGGATAAAATAGACGCACAATTTTTATATAATTTTGCACCAATGGTACAGAATAAACGGGAAATAAAAGAAATTTGATATAATATTGCACCATGGTGCAGCCGAAATGGTTAAAATTGGGACTAAATTTTGACACGATTTCGAGGTTAAGTTGTGTCAGCCAAGGCTAACTAGAACTTTCAGTTAATCCTACTCATTGGTGCAGAATACATTGATTCCTCCAATTATTTCGCACCATTTTGCGTTAACGCTTTTTTGATACCAATTGTGCCACAAATTAGGGTTAAAGTGGTCTTGGGACTTATTAATTAGCATCAATTGATGCAAAAAGGGCGTTAACATACAGACGGACGGACGGACAAGAGGAATTCAATAGCTCTCGTGCTACGCAGGGTGAGCTAATAAGCAGCAGAAATTTTTAAAAAATGATTTGCGAAAAAACTGGAGTGAGTGAGAATGAGATGAAAAGACAAGTCAAAACTGCTGGTCCATAAAGATGATGTCATCTCATCGCCACCACCACTCAAGAATTAAATAAAATCTTCACGCTTGAAACTTTGATTTTGGCTTTGAAATTGAACTAATGAGGGTACAATTTTTCATTTTATAAAAATATGAGGAAATTGATACATGCATAATTAAAAATAATTGCATTTTATTAAAATAATATTGGTCATGTTGGCCAGTGTTCTTCCAGATTCTGAATTTGAGACTGCATTTTATGTAAACTAATTGATTTTAGTATGATAACAAGCGACACGTTTGGGTTCGATATTTAAGTTTGGAATGATGTGATTAACATTTTATTTTCAGGTATAACAATTATGTATGTATACAAAACGAGACATAAGTAGATAACACCGCTTCTTATCCGTTAACAGCATATTTATAGTTTTTCTTAAATTTATTACTAATACATAATTTTACATTGAATATCTAAAGATAAAAGATATTTAATATAACTTATAAAACTATTTTATAACTTTGTAAAAATGGGCATAATTAAAACCGACTTTAACCTGTATTTCATCTTCCCAAATTATCATACACTTTCCACAATAAATTTACTTTCTCCCCGGCCTAGTGCCGCACTAATCGTGTCAAACATCGATATGGAAGCCTCCCTTAGTTTTACTTCGAAATTGCCTTTGCTGTTGTTGTTTCCCCTGATTTCGCTTCATTGAAAACGCTTTCGCTCCAAGAACGTCGTCATTTCTGTGAAGAAGCTGATCCTCCGCGTCGGATAACTTTGGGGGCGGTTGTGCCGTCGTGGTGAAAGAAGTCTCCTCCGTGTGCGAGGAGTACCCAGAGCTGGACCGGACGCGCGGAATGATTTGTCCGCCGCCCCCACTATTTGAGGATCCCGAGGTGGACTTTTTACTACTTTTGTGGTGATGGCGTTGGTGGGGTCGCCCCGCGCAGTAAGAGGCGCGACCTCCTTTGCCCGAGGTGCGACCCGCGGTGGGAGAAGATTCGTCATCCAGGGAAGAAGAGGAAGACTCCATTTCTTCGGAGGTGGGGATGTGATCTGTGGCGGGAATAATAAAAATAGTGAGTTTTGGGTAATTATCAGACGGTGGATATGTATCTATTTTTAACTTTTCATTTGATGGCGACTAACAGCTTTGTCGCATAGTTGACTCACAAAAATTTCAAAAAATTTCCACATGCCGTTACTTATGTCTAGGTTTTCTGACATAAATATACCCGTCATGATTTGAAAAATATGTATATTTTCTAAATACTTCAGCATTGTGAGGCGACTTTCTTACTCTAAGAAATTGGTCCCTATAAAATGCAGAGTGTTATATATATTCGAAATAACAAAGTTTCTTCAATTCTTATTCTTATGTTCGTTTTATATACATATTTGGTAAATAAGTTGGCATGTTTTTTCGTCAATATTAAATTCATGCATACATCTTTCTCCAATTTTTATATATTTTTAAACATATTTCTGCCCTCCGGTAGTAAATATTTGTCCAAGTCAAAATGTATGATAAAAATTTGATTGAGTTTAATGTCAATCATTTTGTTTTAAAGTCGTCAATATATCACTAAAAATAGGTAGATTTTCTAGGTTTTAGCAGTTGAATTTAACGTTTTCAAAAGATTAGCAAATTCTAAATTCTACAGTTGAATTTAACGTTTTCAAAAGATTAGCAAATTCTAAATTCTACAGTTGAATTTAACGTTTTCAAAAGATTAGCAAATTCTAAATTCTACAGTTGAATTTCACGTTTTCAAAAGATTAGCAAATTCTAAATTCTACAGTTGAATTTAACGTTTTCAAAAGATTAGCAAATTCTAAATTCTACAGTTGAATTTCACGTTTTCAAAAGATTAGCAAATTCTAAATTCTACAGTTGAATTTCACGTTTTCAAAAGATTAGCAAATTCTAAAAGTTTTTAATTGTCAAGGCTTATGTTTACATGAAAGTTAGTTTCGGTATCCGGAACCTTTCAAATTAAACAATTAAATTAAATAAACTCATTGATAATTTTGTAAAAATCCGTAAATTTTGCAAACTAATTTTACAAGCTTTTACAAAATAAAGAGACGCCTTTGATCTGACCCTGAGTTTACAAAAATTTGTAAGCTAACTTTGAAATATTTGTAAAGTTTGTAAGTTTACCAAGCCCCGCGTAAATTGTCACGTTCCAATATTCCTACACTTAAAAATGAGTTTCGATTTCCACACGAGTAGTGAAACTACAACCACCTGGCGACCTTTCGTAAAACAGAAGTTTACGCTAAATTTGTTACCTTGTCTATTTCGGCGTCTAAATGTGCCAACTTGTTGTTCATGATATTGTTGTTGTTGCAGAATGATTTGTCGTTGCTGTTGCGAAGCGTAGTCGTTGTGGTGGGAGGAGGATGAGAATTGGTTGTGGGGGTGGTGATATTTTGGCGAAATGGCGCCATCATTTACGTAGGTGGGGTCGTACTCGAGTGGGGGCATGTGCATGGCCAGGATTTTGGTCACTTCGGTGTCCTCATCGTCACAACCAACTTTGCTTAATCGACCAGATTTCATGTATTCGGCGTCCTGTGGAAAATAACCAATTTCTTAATGAGTCAAGGTTTAAAATGTAAATCAAAACTCCGTAAAAGGGAAGAAAGTCTTCGAATTTCTCAATTTCTGTCAAAATCACGCATTTTTAATCATTTCTCGGCTCCATCTGGGAATTTATTTTAAAATTCCGGACGACGAAATTGTCCCAAGTGAGTTGATTAATGCAATGGCGGTGAGTTTTTTAAGCCCGTCTCGACGAGTTCCAACCTGCTCTACAAATTCGTGGTCCAGAATTTTAAACTAAATTCCTAGATGCGAGAACTGAATTAAAATGTGCGGATTTTGGCTATGCGTCATCGTTTAATATTTTATGTGCAATAATTTTGCAATGAAATTCAAATAGTTTGACTCACTCTGAGAGAAAGCGTGGCCATGAAATTTTGCGACTGAACGGCGTGGTAGGGTCCGGAGTAGACGTTTCCCACGTTGTAGAGCGTGTCCCCCGTGTGGAAACCCCCACTGCCGCCCAGCCCTTTCGTGAGCAGGGGACGTGTCGGCGGGTTCTCGGGAAGTTGGAAGGTCGCATACGGACAAACGTCGTCCCCATAGTCTGAAAATTTTATGGGAAAAATGGTCAAATTTGCAATTAAAGTTGTAATTTCTCAATAGACACAATTCCAGGTTTGTTTTATATATCACAAAATTTTGGAAAATAATGATGCAATATTTTCCTTGATATTTCGGAAACTAAAGAAATATTTTGAGAAATTTTAAAAAGCTGCAAATTTAATTTTGCCCTGTTGTTAGATTTATTAACGTGTTGGAAATTTCATTACATAACATGAGCATGTTTCAAATTCATATCTTGCAACTTCAATTCGCGATGCAAAATTATACATAAACAATTAAATTTCCCAAATTTCCCAAAATGTCTCTCAACTTCATAATAAATATTTGTAAATTTCGCAACAGCCACACTTCAAGGTTGCTCTTAACCAAGCACGAAATGCTCGAAAATTTAGCAGAATAATTGTGCAATATTTTGCATTGTATTTCGCAAATGTCAATATTGCAAAAAACGGCAAACTTTTCCCATCTTATTAAATTTTTAGCATGTCTGAAAAGTCATTATGTATGTAACAAGCCTCCTTCAACTTCAAGCATTTAAAATTAAATTCACGATGCAAAATTCTTACAAATTAAATTTCCAAAATTTGCCAAATATCTCTCTTCATCTTTGCCACGTTTCTTCACATGTGCTACTAAAATTTATGGCAAAATTCTGCCTCAGTTCATCATTCCCATCCTGATAACTGTACATCTAACAAGTAACAAATCTCCATTTATTTGCCGTCTATCTCGTTGGAGGAGGAAGTGTGTCGTCGTGTTTGACTTTACGTCGGGCTAAAATTCTCAGGGTGCTAGCAGGGCTAAACTAATAATGACATTTCATTCCGTGCCATCACTTTATTATCAGATTACGCCCGTCTCGCACCCAGCCGAACGTGAGGGCGAAATGGCAGAGGAAATTGTAATCGGATTGTCACCATCATCACGTCCGTAACATGGCTACTTTCGCACTCTGCTCACATAAATAACGAGCACAACCTTGCTCCCACTTTCACCACGATGTTGCTTTCACTCTCGATCTCGGTGAGCAGAACGGGACAATTTTACTGTATCATGTCTGCTCTGTTGTCATCCTGTACTTTAATGCGTACACTTTAATTTTAAGGTGAGGAATGCACCGGATTTTCAGGAAATTTTCACAATCCGTGGTTTAAAAAAATGGGTTTGACTGTGTGTGAGCTGGCTGTGATTTCTTAGGTTTTTTGCTGCAGAATTTTAACGACTTAATTTTGAATTTTGCAAAAATAGTAACTTATAAATTTTATATAAGGTGATGATATAATGGAAATTTTCAGTATGAGAATTATAAGAAATGTTGTCCTAATAAGATCACGTCATGTTTGCTGGGCGTGGGTGGGCAAAAAATTTATTTTTGGTGCAAAATTTTTGTGGAAGCGTTATTCAAAATAATTAGTAAAAATTAGTCCGACACAGAATTTTGGATATTATGAATAGCCATTATTGCTAAAAGAAATAAATATTTTAAATTTTTGTGGGATTTCAGAACCTGTATTTTAAATTTGCGAAAAATTATGTGTCTGTTTAGAGTTTTAGATAGATGGCCACAAAGAGACAAAAATTTTAAGATAGGAATTATAAAAAATTTTACTGCCCAAATTGCCGAAAACAAATATGTGGGAGTTCAAAACCTGTATTTTGAATTGTGCGAAACATAATTTACTTGGGAAATTTTAGGTGAATTGTTATTGCAAATTTTAAAATGACAGTATAAAAACGTTGTAGACATTTATAAGACCTGGGGAGGATTGATTATATTTTTAGAAGTTTTGTGGGACCGTTATTGTAAATATTTTGGCAAGAATTAGCCCGATGATAAATTTTGAATATTGCGAATAGCAATTATTGGTTAACGAAGTACTTAAATCTTTTTATGGCAAAAATTTGTTGATTTCAACACCTTGATTTGGAATTTTGCGAAAAATAATTTGACTGATATATTTTAGATCAAATTAATGCAGATGGAAATTTCTATGTGGCAATTACAAGCAACAAATAAATCACGTGTCATATAATTTCATGAGAATACATGACTTTCGCTCTACTTTCTCTCACATTGGTCTACTTCCATACGAAAGTTTGTGGCTTTCTCTACCTCTAGGCAATCCTGAACTATGGGTTTTTAGTTTGAATTTTTGTGTATCAACTTTCCCTTCTTATTCTTCGTTGTTCTAATAACGATTTTGAAACCTGTTCATCATCGTGTGTTTTTCACAAAATAAAGATTTTATTGCATCTAAAAATTCATAATTTACAAAGTTAGGAGGTTAAAATTTTGATTTTTTTCTTCTACAAGAAAATAAGTATAAACTAGATAAAAATGGAAATTAAAGACTAAATATTTGTCATAGAAGAAAAAATCAAAATCCTAACCTTCTAACTTCAAAGCCTATATTTAGAATTTTGTAAAAAATAATTTAGATAACAAACTTTAAATGACATTTCTGTATATGTAATGCATTGAAAAATGTGCTCAATTTTAATTTCTCGACCATAGCTGAGGAAATATAAGTAAATACAAGAAATGTTGTTGCCCTTAATAAAACAAATAAATCACGCTATGCGTCATGTTCATACAATTTCATGAAAATACATGACTTTCGCTCTACTTTCTCTCACAATGGCCTATTTACACATCAACGTTTGTGGCTTTTCTTTACCTCTCCGTGATTGTGAACTACGTATGATTCGGCGAAAGTAAAATTTAGCACTGGTTTCGCTAAGTTCATATCTCGACGACTCCACAATTTACAATGCGGCGTCATAAATTTGGTGAAATTTTATGTAGGAAAGAGGAGGAATAATGGCTGTTTTTGAAGTGAAAGTGAGTAAGGTACATAAAGTGCGGTTGTAATCGCGTTAATAATTCTGCGATGAGAATTACATGAACTTTGTGCTGTAATGAAAATGAGGAAGGGCTGCATTGTAAATAAGCCATTGTAAAACGGACGTAATAAAGTGGGGAAAACCGTGTTTTTTTAAACTTCGTGTTTCTCTCTCCTTTGTTGTGGAATTAGTTTAAGAATATGTATCTGTGTAAATGTAAAGATGGAAGGGATATGTCCAATTATTCTACATAAATCAAGATGGCCAAACTTCGCAACCGTACTAAAACCGTCATATTGGGCATATCGGATTTAAATATGAATATAAAGTAAATTTAAAGATTAATTGAAAACGGAACTCATAGTTTACACGTTTCAAAAAATTGGATAGAGAAATTTTGAATTTGAGGGGAAAATTTATAATATTTAGGAGAACAGGGAACCATAAAAAATATTTGTCATAGGATTTATTTCAATCTCGGAATAATTGTTATTTTGTTTCACTTTGGTCCCGATAATTAATTATTTGAGTTATTAAAATACTATAAACTCGAAAAGGTGTAGCAAAATTTTGTTCCATATGAAAAGTTAAGGGGGGGTGGGAGAAAAGGGGGATTGAAGAGCATATCATCGAGTGGCAGATGGGTTGACTATGTTGCCTCAACTCGCCGGTCACCAGATGGCGATTGTGAGGCAAATTTCTATTTCAAATTACCTGATTAAAGTGCTCCAGCCCTCGACTGGATCCACGATTAAACTCCGTTTCACCTTACATGGTATTACGGCCACAGGCAAGGAACATGAGAATGCCATGTTATTTTCGTGTGGCGGTAATACCATGTAAGGTGAAACGGAGTTTACATTAGCCGAATGACCGAATTATTTTATTATTTAACATCAGTTATTTTTATTTTCGCGTAGAAATCTTACGAAATTGTATAATTTGAACGCCAAAATGAAAATAACTGGTTGTAAATAATAAAATAATTCGGTCATTCGGCTAATATAATCGTGGATCCAGTGGAACTCGACACTATTACTTGAAAAAAGCACATTTTTTTATTTTCAAACTCTAATTTCTTCGCGAATAATGTTTCTACCTCAAGTGTTTTGACATTTTTGGAATCCGTGATAGTTGTACCACAATAGTACGACCAGTTGCCTATTTCAAATTATAAGGTGGCCTTCCCACGTGACAAGTTCCGCAAAAATTACAAAGAGCCAGTTGGACATGGATTGAAATATATCTTCTCTCAACTGTGGTCGTACTATTGTTGAGTATAAATTTATGAAGAGAATGACACCAAGATATCCAAATTTGATAGTCTGCAACCCATAAATTTACAATGTTTGTCAAAAAAAGATTTACACGAAGGCTTATGCACTGTGAGGGTGGACGTAGTTCAAACACAGCGGATAGAGATCGGTGAAGCTGTGTCAGATTTCCCCTTAAGGATTAAAAGTTCGACAAGCGAAGATGAAGGTTTAGTTCTTGCATATTTTTCGTAAATTAAAAATTTTCAATAGTTTCAAAATTATATTTTCAAGTTTTCCTTGTATTTGACTTTACCTCCTGCAAGGTCTCTGCTTTTGGTGGCATATTGTGCGGTCAGATCAGGCGGGTACTGGCCTTGGGACCCCTTCACGAGCGTGTAATGCTGGTGCGGAGTGGCTGCGTCGTACATGATTCCACCCTGACCGTAACCTTGGCCTTGACCTTGACCTCCTCCACGGTCAAGATAGGACGTCCCATCGCCAGATCCGGTGTAATTGTGGTCACCAATCACCGTTTTCGGGTGTGGAATGCCCAAAATTCCTGTAAATAATTTTAAATAAAATCGTCAATTGATAAAATCCACCATTTTACAATTAAAAATCATTTTATTTTAAAAAATATGACATACTTTTTATAACATTTTCAAGAATATGAAAATTTTTAGTTAATATATATGTAATATACATTCAAATAGCGTTTTGTCGCGCTCTAACTATTTAGATGTATGATAACTTAAAATTTGCATAATTTTTAATAGATACATAATCAGTTATAAAATTAGTGGGCGCTTGCCTAGTCGTTTTTTGCGGCAAATTCTAAATGTACGAATTTTTTCGCTTATCGTCGTACTAATTCAGAAAAGACCTAAGTGCAGTGGCTGTTTTATTCAGAAAAGACCTAAGTGCAGTGGATGTTTTATTCAGAAAAGACCTAAGTGCAGTGGATGTTTTATTCAGAAAAGACCTAAGTGCACAGAAAAAAAGCAAAAAAAGACCTATGTGCAAGTATGTATTTACTTATGGCTAAATCTTGCCAAAATGATTTTTCATATATATCGCTCTTTTCTGAATTGAGCATCGACTGCACTTCGGTCGTTTCTGAATTAAACACCGACTGCACTTAGGTCTTTCCTGAATTAGTACGACGTTATGTTATGTTAGCTAGGTTGCGCATTCCAAATCTATACTTAACATTTTTATGTCAACATTTCCCGCGACAAACAAATGACGCTAAACTCACACACAAAATTGTCAGCGGAAATTTGTGCACGCATATTTTATGAAAACTTTGAATTTTTCGCTAAATTTACACTATAGAAAAACTGCAACATTTTGCTCAAACGTTCATTGTGTTGCAAACGTACAATTTTGAAAAAATTAACGTTTGAAATTTTTATATTTTTTACTGTACTAAACGTACGTTTTCTCCGGACATAGCAGAAGAATGAGATGACGGCGGTGACCATGGCGAGTGCGAGGATGGAGGGGAACACGATCAGGAGCGACGTGCTCAGCGTGGACGCCTCGTTTTCTCCTAAAGCACTCTCTCCATCACGACTTTCTCCAATACTTTCTCCCGGAGATTTTCCACCACCTGCGGATCAAACCCACATAAAAATCGTGATAAATTCACGTATTTTAATTTCTGTGTGGTTCATTCATATTTTCTTTAAGTTTTGCTAAGAAGCAATTAGGGAACGATAGTATGGCACCCAAAATTGAGTCGGTTACATATTACGGTATTATTATTACGGTAATATTATATATTACCGGATGGTCATGATAATTATCGAAGGATATTTCTTCTATACAGGATAAATTTATTCAGCTCGTGGCATGGTCAGATTTATATATTGTTAAAAAAATACCACCAATTGTTATTTACGGTAAGCAAAGTTACGAAATTTAATGGGGTACAAAGATACGAGTGAAACACGAACTTGACAAATTTTAATGCCGAACTGAATTTTACTTCCAAATTTATTTTAATTTTGCAGCTCTCATATTGTTCGGCTGCTACGAATTTATTTATTCCTCGGTATTGAAATTGCTACCGTCTGGTACTACAATTATACCGGTCAGTAAAACTTTACTGCCGCTAATACGAAGCCATTACTAAGCAGTATTACTTATCAACACGACGTGGGTAAAGCGATATTCATACTTGAATATCGCATGGTATTATGTTAATACTGGATTTCTTAGAGTGTAGATAAATTTCTAGCGAAGGTTAATTAGTGTCCAGGAAGTATACTTTAGTTAAAGTATATTTCGCTTGAATCAATTAGTGGAAGGTTAAACTCAAATTTTTGCGGATAATTATTATTGTCAGTTTATTGAGTTTGCTACATTTCTTGCATTGCAAATCAAGAAACGCGAGTAATGCGAGGTGCACGAAACTGAGAGAAAGTGCAAGACATTGTTGCCATCTATCCACGTGCTGTATGAAGTATAGCGGCAGGAGGTAGTTTCTTCCGCCTGCATTTCTCGCAGGTCAAAATAGCTGCAAGAAACCAGTTTCTTGCACATAGTTAATTGCGCCATAAACACTGATTGTTGTAACCAGTCCGTAATAAAATCGTTACCAAGTCGGCGTTTAGCTTATTCTTATTCTTTTAAATGCAATATTTTTTGTCGTTACCGTGACTGGTGAGAAATTCGTATTTAGCCAACGTGTCGCCGGCATGGTTTCCGCCCGTGACGCGAATGTCGTACCGCGTGTTGGCGTGCAGTCCCGTCAGCGTGTACGACTTGGCAGAACCCTGGGAAAAAATATTATCTGATAAGTAAATTATTGGCCAACATACAGATGTCAAAACTAGTTTCTTTCTGATTATTCACGAGCAAATAGCATGAATTACAGATTTTCGCATTGAAAAAGGATGCGAATTTTAAATCATGCACATGTAAAGAAAGAATCTCGTTTTCAATTTTTCAATCTATTTCAAGCGATCCATTAATCTAATGACTTGTTTTTAAGCAGCTCGAAAATCTTTCAAATTGTAGATTGGCGTTGAAACGGTGAAACTGAAAAAAAATTAGGAATAACAAGGGACAAACTGAAAATTCGATTTTTTGCGTGGAAATCATATCTTAAATTGATTTGTTAGATAAATAAATTCTTTAAAAAAAGCTTAGGTGAGGCTTGCTTAAAACGGGAAAACAAGATGTTATCATCGTGTAGTAACATAATATGCTAAATCAATGTTCATCTCATGATTTATAATTTTCGGTAAACAGAACAGCAAAGTATATGCGTTTGGGACCATTTGCCTCGCCGTGGGCCGTTTTGTGAATTAAAATAATTTTAAAATTTATTAGTGTTCAGAGAATTTGTTACACACAGGCGGCAAATACGTCGTATGGAACAATACATAACTTTTTGGTTAATTTTGCTATCCATAATCGATTTCTGATCATATTTACCAAGCATATTATAGGTTAATTTCTAATATACAATATTACATGCAATAGCAGAACATGAATTTTTAATATGTAGACCTATTCTAGGAAAATATTCAAAGATTGCAAAATCACAAATTAACAAAGTTTAATTACAGCAAAATTTTAATATTTACGTAATATGGCATATTTGTATTCAATTAACCACGGCCCACGGCGAGGCAAATGGTCCCAAACGCATATATTTTGCTGTTCTGTTTACCGAAAATTATAAATCATGAGATGAACATTGGTTTAGCATATTATGTTACTACACGATGATAAAATCTTGTTTTCCCGTTTTAAGCAAGCCTCACCTAAGCTTTTTTAAAAGAATTTATTTATTTTTTGTTTTTAAACCTACAAGTATGTAAGAGTCCTCCCAAATTAACTATCCCCCTATGCATTGCATTACATACCAAATTAATTATAACATGTGGGCGCAGATGCGATGCATATTAGATTAATTCCCCTATATGAAGTGTAAATGCAGAAATCTGGTGTGGTCAGGCAGGTATTGCTTCCTCAGTATTAAAGTTGCTACCGCGTCGTGGTATTAAAATTATACCGGTCCGTAAAAATGGCTACCGATATGGCAAAACATTAGTACCGAGCTATTACACTCTTAAAAACCCGGTGTTAATCGTCACCAAACGGTGTGCGTATGTGATGGTAAAATTAACAACGCATGGGGTCAGTGACAATTTGACCCCATGCGGGCAAGATTTATCACCAAGCGGTGAAAAACATTACTATCACCGCTTGCAAATGGCTTTTGGTTAAGTCGCATATGTACACCGTTTAGTGGCGTTTAGTGACGATTAACACAGGGTTTTAAGAGTGTACTACATGGTATTACTTATTAATACCAGTTTTACAGAGTGGTGTTTGAATTACTTTGAATACCGCTTGGTATTATTTTAATATTGGATTTCTAAGATTGTACCAAATTAGTTTCTCCTGTGGGTGTGGACACACAGTTAAGAACGTGCATAAATATTAGATATAAATATATGTAGATGCACCTATTTATTTCCATATGCCAGTACAGGCCTCAATTGTTTCTCTTGTGCTGGTTACTAAGGGAAACCTCGTATTTATGTATGCATGATAAGTAATGGAGGACTGTTATAATTAGCGGAACTGGTTGCAGATGCTACCAAGAAAAGTTCTTCATTTCTTATCCGATTTAGCTCGGGTTTGCTTTAAATGACGCGTTATAGATTTCTGCATATGAAAATCAGGGTCTCGCACTATCATTGCATGGTAAAAGTGAATTTGCCAGTCGTTTGAAAGTTTAAAATCGATTTTAATTACGTTAAAATAAGAGTGTCATGTTTCTAGACCTGACGGGCATCATCTACCCAGCAAGGTCTGCACGATTGCCTTTTACACCATTTTGATACGATTAGCCGTTTTGCCACAATCTTGAGTGGAACTTTGGGAGGGGGGGTCTGTTTGCATACTAAGGCTTCGCCGTAACCATGCACTTTTTCATGTGATCATGGTTACTATGCCTCACCTAAGAAAAACAATTTCGAATATAAATATGCATGATAAAATGCAAAGTGTAAAACATGTCTTTATCACATATTTATTTGTCGCCAATAATATTTTCCAAAGATTGCTTACAGATTAATTTATGTTAACGACTTTTTTGGCTATTGGGACGGATTATTATGAACACAAAATATGCAATTGTGCAAAAAATCACGCATTTATGCAGACTTACATTAAGCTCGGCTGGAATTCGCATCCAGCTTTTTTCCTGGGACTCTTTGTACTCGATCATGAATCTGAGAATGGGGCAGCCGACGTCCTTCCAAAGGTCCAGACGCACCACGATCGTCGAGTGGTTCGAGATAAGGGCTTCCTCCTTCTTGGGCGAAATCGGGGCTGGAAATTTTTACAGAATTTTACGAACTAATGAAAATGTTTGGCGTTTTATAAGTAACTAAATTGGGAAAAATAATAGGTAAGCTTAAAATATGTAAATTGGTAAAAAACAAATGAAAAGAATTTTAGGAAATTATGAAAATTATCAATTATGCTAAAAATAAGTTGACCACAATAATAGTGTATCGAGGAAAAATTGCGAAATTGTATAAAAACTTGGCCGAAATTTGATTATCAATTTTATTTCTAGCTGAAAACGAATTGCCATGATCTTAATTAAGAACAAGATAATTTAAGATTTTAGATACAAAATATCGTGATTTCAGAGCTTCATTACTCAAAAAGTTATTTGTAGGCTTCGTCTAAAATTCTTGCTTTTACTTTTTCGTGAAAAATTATGCATTAAAAAATGATATATATAAAAATATAAAAATTATACTTTGCAAAAATGTCGAATATGTATATCTTGCAATATATATATACAGAAATATTTCCAAAATATCGTGTTTATGATAACGTATATATATTTTAAAATATTTCAAATTCTTTGCTGTACTATACAAAGTACAAAGTTTGTCTAACGTCGAAAATAAATATTTATAGAAATTGTGTATATTTAAATAATGAACAGATACATTAATTTCGGTTTATTTTCAAAATGTTAAGTTTTCAAAACCTAAATTTTTCAGAACTTTCCTCACCACTGCCTTTCGTGCTGCGGGTTAAAATATCTGACGCCGGTCCGGACCCGATTTTGTTGGCGGCAGTGATGTAGAGTTGGTAGGTGGACCCGCAGAGGAGCGGCTGCAGCGTGTGCCCCGTCGCACGTGGGCCAACCTCCGTCTCCTCCCAGTCGCCACCATCTCGACGGTAGCTCACCAAATAACCTACGAGGAACAAAAGCTTTTATTTAGGAACACAACTAAGTAATATGCACAATCATCAAATTGCAAAAACTGTACGCGAAATTAGAAAAAGTTTGAAAACTAAAAATAAAGCAAAAAATATAGCAAAAAATTCACCAATTGTGACACATCATCATTTTATCTCTTTTATCTAAAATAGTGGAAAGAATATGAATTAAATAATGATGTGCAAATTTTACAGCATTTTTTTGTGTACATTTAAAAAATGTCGTGGTAAAATTCGCACAAAAATTAAACCTTATTTCCAACGATAACCAAGACTTTTGACCACTTTAGCAGATTTAGTTGCAAAAAATTTCACAAATTGTGGCAAATGACCCCTCAATCTAATTTTAGTTTAAATAGTGCAAGCATCATAAATTAGACCATGGCGTGCAAATAGGCCATGATTTTAATTTACAGAATTTTTTGTTTCTGCAAATTTTTTTCAATTTTTATCAATGCAAATAGGCCATGATTTTAATTTACAGAATTTTTTGTTTCTGCAAATTTTTTTCAATTTTTATCAATGCAAATAGGCCATGATTTTAATTTACAGAATTTTTTGTTTCTGCAAATTTTTTTCAATTTTTATCAATGCAAATAGGCCATGATTTTAATTTACAGAATTTTTTGTTTCTGCAAATTTTTTTCAATTTTTATCAATGCAAATAGGCCATGATTTTAATTTACAGAATTTTTTGTTTCTGCAAATTTTTTTCAATTTTTATCAATGTCACCATCTCACCTCTGACCTGACTCCCGCCCGAGTGTGGTGTAGACCAGACGACCTTTAAGGACGTGAATCCGACCTCGATGACTTGGAGGATGGGGGCCCCAGGAGGGGTCTGCACTTTCACCACGTAAACCACGCTCTCGCTCCCGTGCGCGTTGGTCGCTGTGCATGTGTAATTTCCACCGTCCTCCACTCCGACGTCTTTCACGACCAGCTTCGTATTTCCACCTGGACTCGGTTGTACCTTTGGTAATTTAATTGATCGTTAAAACATGGGTTAAAATCCGTTACATATTTTTCTTGTAAACCTCTAAAAATTAGTTGTGTACATAATTTACTATCGAGTATTTTTTTTAGATGACACTACTTTTTAACTAAACGCACCTTACAAATTTTACGATTATGCGTGTAAGTAAACAGTGAGGTGATTCATGTAAGATTATAAACTCTTTAAACTTTTATAAAATGTTAACAAATACTTCGAAGGAAAATTAGATTACAAATATCTATTCAACTTGAGTGAGTGATTACAAAATAATATTTCATGTCATGCCTTGACTTCAACTCGCATTTATTTTTTATTTAATATTACTCAATAGATATTTCTGAAAATGTCAAAAATCTATGTTCCCATAAATTTGTATTTATGTATAATAACACAGAATTTTTATAATTTTGGAAACTATTTAAGACAAGGAAATTTAGAAGTAGGATTTTCCATTAAATTTATCTACCTACAAAATGAGAAGAATTAACGCCGAAAGTCATAATTCGTTAAATTTGAAATTCAATAAGGAATAATAGATCACATCAGACGGATCGATTCTTCGAACTCTATTACTCTATTACAGCATAAAAACCAATTTTCTTAACATTTTAGCAATCTATAATCATTTTCATTCATTTATCGACTTTTTATCTTTATGTGTTGATCATTTCACATTAAAGTATGAAGTGTCGTGTCATTTTACGGCATGTCACGTCACGTAGCGGGCAAACTGATGAGGGACGAACGCTTTACTTTCACAATAAAAATTCCGACGTGTCCTTAAAACCGGGAGAGGATGAGAGCTCAGCAATTCATCCAAAAATCCACTTGCTTTCACTTTGAAGGAATACCGTCGTTGTGATGATGAGCATCATCCGGCAGCCTTCTCTTCGTCATCATCATCAACTTCCTCTTCCGCTTTCTCTTTTTTCCTTTCTCTTTTAAAAAGTATATTTCGTGCTGCTGTTCAACCCGTCAAAATCGGATCCGGGGATCCGATATGACGGGAGAAAGTGAATGGTTTGCCGGGGGAGAAAGTAAAGTGCGTCTGATGGGTGTATTCAAGCCAAAGTTGGGAAAAATTATGGCGAATTTTGTGACTTCAAAGGCGATTAATATATTTTGGAAGGTTTTTAGACGAAAACATTTTTTAAGGTGTATCGAACAATTTACTTACAATTATATGGCAATGATGAAATTTTGTATCGAATTTTATCCTGTCGTGTTCGAAAATTATGTAACTTAGAAAATGCGTACAAAACGCATATTTAAGCCAAAATTAGGAAATCACAGGGTGACATTTCTTGTTCCTGCGAGAGTTCAATGACAACCAATATATTTTGGCATTTTTTTTAATACATTAAATTTTTTGAGGTGGGTTCAGTGGGGTTTGAAGAGATTTTGTATTGAATTTTCATTTCGAATTTTATGCTTAGTTTTTTTCGAAAATTATGTAATGGAGAAAGTGCGTATAATGGATGCTTTCAAACAAAAGTTAAGAAAGGATTGTGAAACTTGTAAATATAATTTCGCTTTTTCCGGTTAAACTGCCAGATTTCAACGGCAACTAATACATTTCGAAGGTTCTTTTATATTATTAAATATTATGAGATATTTTAGTGCTTTTGGTTTGGATGGTGATGATAAAGAAATTAGGAATCGAGTTTTCTCGTCTAAATTTTATCCTTCGTTGTTTCGAAAATTATGAATGTAGTAAAAATGAGGCAATTCACACAGTCCACTCAATGTCCTTGTAAAATTCGTAAGTTTTGAAAACATAATGTTACAAACTTTTACAAAAGATAAAGAGATGCCCTTGACCGGAGCCAAATTTACAAAATTTTGAAGCTAATTTTCCTCAGGAATATTTTTTAAATGTTTACGGAATTTACAAGACCAGCTTTGAAATAAACAAAATTTGATGTGAGTATTACCGAAATTAAGTTTTTAGACGAGTCTTTCTCAACTTCGACTTCATTGTTGTGCTCTTTTTGTTCGCTAAATCCGTACTTTTGTTGATACGTCCGTCGCGCAAAAAAAAGGGTCAAAGGTTCATTCAGAGGAGGAAGTCGGGAGAGGAAGACGCTATAAATCAGAAAATAGATGAAAAAACGACAGACAAAAAGGGATAATAAATCATACCGCGTAGATTTTGTAATGAGAATAAATAATCTTTTTTCATGCGGGTTATGTCATTCGACAATAAAAATCATGTATAATAAAATAAACTGGATTTTTACTGTTTTTTAAAAATAAATATAGTTTAGTGTGAGTACAAGAGTATCAAAAAAATATATCGTAAAATTGTAATTTTTGTTGTAATTTATTTGTTTGTGATCCCCCACAAAAAATAGTGTCTGAAATGACCAAAAATGTCTTAAATGACCAATTGTTACCTCAACTTCATTATGCAAAAAATGGTCAATTCACAAAAATTTCTAGCTCGGACAAAGAATCTTTAACTTTGCACATGCAATATGGTAAATCCGTCTTATTTAACCTGGGCGTCATAATCTTCCAAACATTTAGATTTTGCACCGCAGAAACACTTTCACAAATCTTACGCGGTCGTATTTCACTCCTTGCTAACTTGCGCCATGCTTTAGTTACAGCATTGGCGCAAGTTGCAATAATCACGTTAAGCGCCTATGTAATTTAATTTGCGTATCGACCCTATCTCCTCTCCACAGAAACATTCAAAATAAAGTTCGAAACTTTCTCGAGTTTTTTTTCTCACCTCTCGTTTCCCGTTTCCCCCATGGATTTCCCCACCACTGTTGAAACTCCACTCCACCGTGGGTTCTGGCACGCCCAGCGCGACGCAATCCAATCCCAGCTCTTTCTTCCACGGAATTTCCACCGTTCCAGAAAAAGTCGCTATTTTCGCGGAAACTGAAAAACAATTAGGAAATCTTGGGGATAATAAATATTAAAAATCCCTGAGATATTAAATTCTGCCGGAGTTATGATCAGGGCTGCATTTCACGACCAATTTCTCATGAAAGTAATTACAACCTGGAGACTGGGCCTCTCGTAGATTTAATGGAGTAATAAAGTCGGCCTATAGGCCGACTTTATTATTTTTCTATAGAAAGAGTAATTAGTTCCGAAGAGGAACAATTATTACGGGCAAAATGAGCAATTTAGCTCAAAACTTGATTACTTTCTTCGTCTCTGAGGGGCTGCATGCGTACACTGTTAAAAATCTGGTAGAGTCAGATATATTCCTTACGGGTATTGATTTGGGAATAACTTCCTACCGGATTTGTAGTAGATTAGTTTCTATTTCTGAGTAGTAAATTTTTCATTACCACAACATTAATAAACGGTAACTACCTTTATTACCGAATCCAGGAGAGTCATATGTGTACTCCTGCCAGTAATGATTTAATATCAGTTTTCTAAGAGTGTATGCATAAAACCAGGTGCAATCGATTTTTTGGGGTTAACGCGTCGTATTTACGAAAACATGTTAATTTTAATTAACGTAGGTCAAAATTTTCCGGAAATCAGTTACATGATTTTTACACGGTGTCTGCCTTGAGAAATGTGGATATTACTTATGTCTTTGGGCTGAAAATTTGCCTTGTTCTTGGCTGCCGATGATTTTTTTTATCGCGGAGCTAATTTACATTTAGATGTTTGTGTAACGAAGTAAAATTGTTAAACTTATAGCCTCCGTTTACACAAAGGTGGGACAATTACGAAAGGAAAATTAGGCTACGAATTGATCATTTAAATTTTTCACAGATTAATGTTAATTAAATGCTTTGAAAGTATGTATAGTACACTTTATAAAATTTGCACATTTTAACTTGGCTGCAAATATTTGAGTGAATAATTTTTTTAATTTTGTAAATTTGGATAAGTAGCACGCCATTTTGTAGTTTGTTATTTAGTTTATCTTCTATATTATAATCTCCAGATCCAAAATCATGGTTGTTGAATGAGAAAAGGGTCTATGTTGAGAGTAAATGTTACGTAAAGTTTACGCAAGAAATTTCGTAAACCAAATCTCTGAAATAATTTGACTCGTTACCTTTATTGTTGGCTGGGGTGGTGGCGTTGATTCTTTTGGTGGGCGTGCCCTCCCCCACTCGAGTCGTGCAGCTGACCCAAAACTCGTACGTGGAGGCCTCCTTCAGCCCCACCCACTCCACGCGAAGGTCCGGAAACGAAACCATCTTCTTTTCCTTAAATTACAAAGTGGTCAGTGCAAACGAGACTGTAATATATAATTATTTGTATAATAAAGATATTGAATATAGAATACAGATATTACAAATACAATTAACAATGTTTAATTTCTAACGGGTTTGCTACATTTCTTGCACTGCAAAGCAAGAAGCACAAGAAATGCGAGGTGCAAGAAACTGCCGGAAAGTGCAAGGAATATGTTCCATCTAGCCACGCGCGGTATCAAGTATAGCGACGCGCGTCGTTTCTTGCGCCTTGCATTTCTTACCTTACAGGTCGAAATAGCCACTTTCTTGCAGTTATTTCTTGCAAGTGGATGCCCCCGGAAAATATTTTTCGAAACAAAAGACAAACTTACATACATACATACATACATACGTCTGGGTATAAATTTGCTAAACATAGTAAAAAGTTTGAAAAATCTTGAAAGTTTCGTACACTTAATGTTCGAGATTTCCGACATAGAGACACACAAATTGTCGTCACGACACGTAGAGAATATTTATGCTGGATATGTACTTATCAAAATTGTGATGCTTATTAATAGCGACGAAACCATTTATTTTCTGCATACCATATTTCCCCAAAATAATTTAGGTAAACGTCTGCAAGGTTTTTCGTCTTTAAATATTTAATGAACTTAATTATTAATATTCACGCAGTAATTATTAGGTACATACATAGCTCGTAAAATATGCAAGTTTTGCAAAATACTTGTACAAACTTAATAAAATCCTTGATCTGACTAAATTTCCAAAAATTGGTGACCTATATAATTTTCGTTAGAAATGTTTGTACAACTGTGTAACTTTAGAGAAAAGTTACAAAGTTACCAAGACCTGCGTGAATTGCTTCGTAAAATTTCTTACCACTTTTGTCCCATCGAAGATTCTGCTGTAGACGGTGAACTTGGTGACTTTTCCGTTGGGGTTTGCCGGAGGAAGCCACGAGACCAGGATGGACCGTCGAGAGGACACAACCGCTTTCAAATCCGATGGTGGAGAGGGGACTGGAAAAAAATAGAAAATTCAATAGTTAGAAATTTATGTAATTAATTTTTTCTTGTAAATTTCGACGTCGATTAGGAATTTATTTATGTTTAGGTTCTAGTTAAGTAAAGTCAATAAGATGTGAAACACATTGATGCGAGTTACTGGTACAAAATTATTAATTTAACAAACGAAAAAAACGTAATCAAAGTTTGTAAAATAATTTTAAAGAAATTAAAGACGCTCTTGACCTGAGAGTAAACTCACGACAATTTATAAGCCAATGTTCTTATGAAATATAAATATCAATATTTATACGATGTAGATAGAGTATTGCTCGTCTGCTAAGCTTTTGTGATGAGATAATTAACGATATTCTTACCTCTAATTAACTAATTATTCAAATGAGCAAGTTCATTAGTATAATAATATTTTCAATACGTTAAATTTAAGAGGAGGGGACATTCTTCTTGAATTTAGATAAATAATATTGAATCAATTTAATATTTCTACTCGACCAGAATTTTATGAATGAATCTTAAAACAAAAATTGTCCTAATTAATTGCTCAATTGCATACTTAACTAATTAATGAAATTGACCCTGCTCGGAAATCCAGACTATTTAATTTGAGAAAAGAAGAAACATCTTAATTTCCATAACATTGCCTCTCTATTCAGTTTTATACTGGACGGCGCCCCACTCAAGCATTTCAGTTTGTAATTTCTAAAATTGGGGGTATTAAGTACTTTTTTAAATATACAAATTTGTCATTTAACGTTTGACATTTTTAATAATTCCTCAAGTTTTGGAAATTTATTTTAAAATTCTGCATAAATTACAGTACAATTTCCTGATCTCAAATTCTGCCTCAATTTCTAATCCCCCCCAATTTTAAGAAATCCACCAACTTTCTTTGGACGAGGAGGCGATCACTTCAGTGCAATTGAGCAGAAGGGATTTGAGCTTGGAATTTTTTCTGGTAGGTTTTTGTGGTTGGGATTGATTTGATTCGATCATGGTTTGCTTTGATTGCCTGCCTCTCGATCCCCTCCATTTAGTCCAAGATCAAACGCTTCCTGCTCCTCGCGAGGAACGGCCAGGAAGGAAATCGGGGCCATCAGCAGTACACATATGTACAAGAACGTGGAACATTAAATGTTGTTTAAGGGGCTGGGCAAAAAATACGCTGGTTATTTTTTGGGAAACTTGCTACCAACCATGAAAATTTTTTGGACAAGTCGATTCAACGAGGGAATTCACGCAGTCCTTGGTAAGTTTGTAAAATCCTATAAACTTACGATTTTACAAATATTTCGAAAGGGGACAACAACGCAGAACGACATTACATGTTTTGGGGGATTAGGCAGAAAGGATGTGAGCCATTTTCTGCGTCACTTGCTACAAATCATGCACATTTTCCACAAAGCAATTCACACACTCCTGGTAAAATCTGTTAACGTCCAAACTGTTACAAATTTTACAAATACTTCGAAGGCAAATTAGTTTCCAAATTTGCGTAAAGTTATTTAATATCAAGAGCGTCTCTGTATGTTGTAAAAGTTTGTAAAATTATTTCACAAAATTTACGGATTTTAAGTTACAAATGACTTCGTGGATCTTGGCCGACCTTATAAAATAATACTGATAACACCAGAAACTGTTTAATCTTGCATGCGTAAGTTTCCAAGCAATTCACACGAGTGAGGCGTACCAATTTACGCAGTCCTTTTGGAAGGTTTGCATATAACATCCGTAAAATAGGCAAAATTACAAAGTTTTAGTAATATGTATTTTCAAGGAAATTTATCCTTCAAATTTGTGTAAACTTACTCAGATGAAAGTGTTTCGAAGTATTTATTAATTAGTATAACCTGGACGACTTTAGTGAAATGTACAAACTTGGAGAATTTAATTAAACATACAGATGTTAATTTTGTTCCATGAATTTGAAATCAGTCGATCGTGATTTCAAATCCGAACCTTATTTTCTAAATTTCTACCAAATCGTAATTTTTGATTAAATTCAATTGAATTTTTGAAGCACAGTAAACCCCACTAATAAAAGTTTTTGCAGCATTTCATACAAGAAAATACAGAGACGCCCTCGAGCTCTGTAGTAATTTGGCAATAAATATATTTATTTCTTACAAAGTGCGTTATAAATGCATGAAGTTTTAAAGGATAAAAAGACGCTCTTGATCGGAGTTAACAAAAAATTAGTAAGCTATAAATATTTGTAAAATTTCGTAAAAGTTTGTAAGTTTACGAATTGCACCCATTTTACAAAGTTACCAAGGACTACGTGAATTGCCTAAAAGATGTAATGGGGACCTTTTTTGTGGGCGTACTTTCCGCACATCCCTCGAACCAAGAAGGCCAAAGGAAAGCAAGGAAAAGGAGATTCATGCCCAATTTGAGTCACATAACTGCATCCTGTATATCAATTCGGGTCGGAGAAAGTATGCGTAACGGGGTAAAAATTGGCAATACAAACTATTTACCCACGAAAAATTGGCTCGCTGAAAATTCTATTTTTGCGATTCACCATTTCTTTAAAATGATTTCTCCTTCAAAAATTGATTCCAAGGAGAAAACTCACATCATAACTTATAAATAGCTGAATTTCTTACACAACTTTTTGCAGAATACTACATGCAAATTTTGTTTACACATGATCATATGCAACTTAAGAATTGCATCCTGGTTTAAATTTAATTTCATAATTTGAAGAGAACAGAAATTTGTTCTTGACAGTTTTCAGGTGTTTTTAGATACAAGTTTTAGGCACAAAAGGTCAAGTTTTGAAATTCGTAAAAACTGCATATTAGAAACTTGTAATTTTTCGAAAATGTAATTTTTTACAATTTCAATAACCGCCAGGTTATTTAAATTCAATTTCTGAATTTGAAAGGGGTAGAAATTTCTTTCTGGCATTTTATACATTTTCTAAAAACAAGTTTTATGCATAAAATATCATATTTACAATTTTGAAATGCTTAGAAACTGCATAGAATAATATTAGCAATTTTTTGCTAACGTACTTTTTCACAATTGAAGATTTTCTTTCTTCCATAAAATCTATTTCGCAAGTGGAAAGAAACTCTAAAAAATAAATATCTAGTTGGATAAAAATTGGCATCAACGATCGACACGGAACGCCTCAGGCACGTGGAGTGGGGACCAAAATGAAATAAATAAAGTTACCAGAAAATTCACAGATTGAACTGGAAGTAAAGAAAAAGTGAAACTTGGCACAAATCGGAATATCCATTTTTTGTAATATGACGAGAGATTGATCTAGGATATTTTTTCATGCAAAATTCCTTTAGGACACTATTTTTGCAATAGATATTATATTTTTCGTAGCAGTTTTGCTTAAATTTTACATATGAAAAAGCACATGCACCTAAAATATTTTTAACATTACTGACTCTTTTCAGTGTAAACTTCTGACGTTGAATTTACTCAAGTATAACCAATTATTTTTTATATCACGCTGAAAGCCTGATATCTTTTCAAAATTTGCAGCCAAATTAGTCCCATTTCAATTTGTTTTCTCATGTCGAATAATTCCTCAAAATTTCAATCTAATATAGAAACAAACGGGAACATTACGTAAATAAAAGTAAAAAATAATCCAACGAATAGTTAGAACATGTAAGGAAGCAGGTAAATTAACAAATTTGTGTTCGAACTTTTGACGTTTTCCCCGTTTTTTACGAAAAGTGTATTTAACAAGATGAATATGTGGCAACTACGAAGATCAGTTTATAGAAATTGAAACGTTCTGTGTCAACAAAATGGCCGGTCTACCCACCTGTTTGTTCATTAATTTATATTTTCAACGTTTATATATTTCACCAAAGTCGTCCAAATTTGCAAATTTGCAAACATCTAAACTATATAAAGCAGGCGAGTGTATCGCTGCTGGGTCGGTGGCTTAGTTGAGAAGTTAGCCTCTCCTTTTCTCTCTCCACTCTGCAGAGAGAACAGGAGAGGCTAACTTCACTAATGTTGGCGTAACGGGCTTATCGACGGGCCTATTTTGTACGTCGATTGACGGGCTTCTACACTAGTGCATCATATATTATGCAAATACTTTAATTAACAAATAAAAACATTTTAATTCTAAAATTTACAAAATTTTACCTTGGTCCGATTCAGTCGGATTTTTGAAACCTAATAAAACTTTTCTGATACGTTTTGTAGAAGTTCGTACAAAAAAATTCATAGACGTTCTCAATCGATGTAGTAAGTTTGCAATGTATTCTCTGTACCCTGATTATTATCCTTCATATTTTTGTAAGCTTGTAGAAATATTTGTAACTTTACTAAATTAAAAGCATCGCAGTGTCCATTAATTTAAAACTTTTACAAAATTCGGAAACAATTGGAAACTTCGCTAAGTGTATTCTGTTTACACATTTACAAAGTGCAACTTACAAATCTAAATACACTTCTGATTAAGGCAGCGATTGATAATTTTGTATCATTTCGCAAATTCTGTAAACTTTTACAAAGTTGTATAATTTTTTCTGAGGAAAATTAGCTTCCAAATTTTTGTAAACTTACCCCGATCAAGGGCGTCTCTTTATTTTGTAAAAGTTTGTAAAATTATTTAACAAATTGTACGGATTTTACAAGTTACTACAGACTGCGTGCATTGCCTCAGTATTTTCGGTTCTTTGCTTCGTAATAGAAACGTTCATGTGAACAATTTGCAAAAAATAGAGTGAAAATATGTGAAACAAATTTTTCAAATGAAGTCGGTTTAGAATTTAATCCAAATTTAAAACTTTGACGCCATTAGAATCAAATTATAAATGACACATAAAATAAAAAATTTCATAGGTTTTATGCAGCGCAATACGTTTGGGTGAAATCATTGATGCTCAGGTTAATTGAGTTGTTTTGTTTTCTAAAATTTGGTAAAATTTTGACTAAGTTTCCAATGAATTGCCTCATTATTTCTTGTTTTGAAAGATAAAGAATTTGCAACCTTGCAAATCAAAAACATTTCAAAAAATATTGTGAAGTTAGTAAACAATTTTGGTAACTGCAGCCAATCTTACCGTCCTCGTCCGTCCTGCACAAGAGCGGGGTTGAGACGGCCCCATCGCCGACGACGGTGAATCCCCGCACGGTGACGGAATAATTGGTCCATTTTCGTAACCCGTGCAAAACGAGGTCTCTCTCCGTCGTCACTTTGGTCTCGATTTGGTCCCCCGATTCGGCCTGGCTGTCCATCCCCTCGTCCTGTCCTCCTCCGACGAGGACGTCCACTTTGTAGCCTTGGACGACCCCGTGTCGCGCTTCGAGCGGTGGTGGTTCCCAGCTCAGCGCCAAACTTTGTGGGGAGGTGGATCTGCACTCAAATTTCTCTGGCGGCTGGGTGGGCACTGAAAAAATTTGAAATTTATTTTGAAATTTTATTTTTCTTGTCTGAAAACTTAAAATATAAGTTGAAAACTTTAGGCGATGTTTAACGCCAAAATTGTGAACCTTCTAAAATCACGTATACGTAATAAAATTTTAAAGGTCGACGCAACCGTAGTCTCCTGGTAAATATTTAATAAATTGTTGGTAAATTTAATTCATTATTAAGTTACATATGCATATCTATTGAGGAAATTCCCGTGGTCCTTGGGTGCTTGAAAAATCCTGAAGCTCTTAATCTTTTTACCAAAGTACTTATTATACAAAGTTTAACGCCAAAATTGAGAAACTACTAAATCATGCGTATCTGGAACAAATTTCACAGGTAGAAATGGTGTGTTCCTGTAACAAAATTTAGCAAATAATGTTTGGCAAATTTAATTCAGAATGAAGACTTAATTATCTGTATTGAGACAATTCACGCAATCATTGGTAACTTATTAAAACGCATAAGTTTCCTAAAAAATACAAAGCTTTAAACGTTCTTGATGGGAGTAAGTTTACAAAAGTTTGTAAGCTAATTTTCCTTCGAAATATTCAAAAAAGTTTATAAGAGTTTGTAATTTTACGGAATTTACGGATTTTACAATGCTACCAAGGCGTGCATGAATTGCCTCAATAAAACAATTTAATTTGTAATCTCAACAATCTCGAATTTTGATCGCCATAATTATTTATTCAGAGTGTCGACGATGCAAACTTGGTAATTCCAGTGAACATGGAATTATTACAAATTCATGACATCCGATCCATCACGTGCAAACACCTTTCACTCCCAACTTTCCAGCCAACTTTGTCTCTAATTCAAATAGGGTGAAAGTGAAAGCTTAAAATCTAAGTTTATAGCTATAGTTTAACACCAGAATTGTGAAACTAGTAAAATCACGCTTGTCAAGTAACATTATGTAGGTCCTAACTCGATAATTGCATGTTTGTTAGTTTGTCACGGAATATTGGTAATATTTTGTAACCGATATTTTGTTAAGGTTCTTGCCCATTTGTAAAAATTTGTCAGTTTGGGATTCGCTAATGTATAAAAGCCTTTTATACATTAGCTTTTATTAAAAGGTTTTCTGGAAGATTGAAAAAATTCAAAAATTATCAAACCCATGGGATTGATAATTCGAGATTTCTGCAGAGATCTCGAATTTTGATCCCTACGTGATTCTTTAGAGTGTCGACCATGCAGATGTGAGCATGTAATTATTACAAATTCATGGCATCTGATCCATCACGTGCCACCTTCATTCTCAATTTCCCAACCAACTTCTAATTCAAATCGGGTAAAAGTGCTGGCCAGGTGTCAGCCCCGATTTAATTCCGCACTCAGCAACGCCTCCTCCCACGTTAATCTGCATATTACATTGGAACCCGACATCAAACAAGTGATCGATGTTAGTACAGATGGGAAATAGGACGTCTCGACCCCGATAAAATAGGACACATTCTTTGCGCACGCTCCATGAAATAAGTACTTCTTCTCTTGGATCCAATTCACTCTCAAGAATGAATGATTTATGAGAGAACTACACCATCCTAAAAATGTTTTAAGCACTATTTTTTTTTTTTGCAATTTATAATTTTGGCAGATTTTCAATTAATGTAATTTTAATACAAATTCAGTACAAATTTCAACTTTCAAAATGTGGGACAATCCTTGCGACGTTTGGAGATTGACAAACCCATAAATTCCCTAAACTTACAAACTTTTGCAAAACTTTACAAATATTTCGAAGTAAAATTAGCTTAAAAATTTTTGCAAACTTACTCTGATCCCGGTTTATAAAGTTTATAAAATTATTTTCCAAATTTATGGACTTTTTCAAATTGCCAATTACGACAAAGTATTTTAGTATCATACTTCGTAATATAAATGTTTATCTGCAGAATTTGTAAAAATAGAGGATCACTATATACCATAATTTTTTTTACAGAGGTCGTTTGAAAATTTAATGCAAAATTTATAACTTTGACGCCACTCCATTAAAATTATAAATGACCTGAAACCAAAACAGTTGTACAGATGAGTGTTGTTCTATACTGTACATAACTTAATTTAGAAAGTTAGAATAGTCAGAATTTGGCAAAATATTTTAGGTTAAAGTTAAAAAAAATATGCCATTTTTAGCATGGGAATGGAATAGAACTTGAGCCTGCTTTCTCCGCCTGGTAAAAATCCCACATTTTTCAAATTTGACCACAAATATTTTGACAAATTCCCATCCTCACACAAACTGCCTTAAGAAACGTTGGTTGTATTGACTTGGACTACATAATTTCCAAATTTCAACCAAATCGCAGGGTTACACTTCGCACCATCGCATTGTCAGAGTTAAAGAATTTGTAAAGGCTACACAGTTTTGATTCATTAAAAAATGAAGGTGTAAATGAAGTTGTAAAATTTCGAAAGGAATTTCTTAAATTTGTCGGTTTCAAGCAATTTAATAAATTTTACAAAAATTGTTTACAAAGCTGACGTAATTGCATTTTTTGGCTCACCGTCTTGGAGTGTGGTGGCGACGGTGGGGCTGCTCGAGGGTCCGGCACCCTTCGCATTGAAGGCCTGCACAACGATGGTGTATCGCGTAAACTTTCGTAAATTGTCGATCGTCGTTTCACCCCCAAAGTCCTGGCCAACCTGGAATTTAAGTAAGGTGCGGCGATACTTAATATTACCTTACCTTGCTTTTTGTAACAAATAATTCGAAAAATTTGAAAAAATCTCACAATTAAATAATACTAAAATGTAAAATAAGAAAGTTTAAATAAACTTTTATAAGAAATAGGCGCTTTGGTATAATTGCAATTCACTCGGATATTCGCAACCACCTAAATTTACAAAGGTTTCCACAGATTACGAAGGAATATGTTGCTAAAAATCTATATTTTTTAAATTTTGTATACACGAATGCTACAGAACTTGTGAAGTCCCCCGCTTTACAATATCCAAATGAACCGAATCAAAATACATTTTGAAAATCTTGATTTGAAAATTAAATGGGTTTAATTCTTATTGAAAATTTTCATAACTTGGACGATGTTAGTTTAAATTTTAGAAATGCAAACAATGAAATGGAAAAATAGGTGATGTGGAGAAAACATTTTTTTATCATTTCTTGCTAAAATTGGTCAAATATTGAAAGTATCAACATAATAACAATGTTTGCAAACTTCTCAAAAAATGTCTCGAAAAATTTTTGCTTCCAATTGCATCCTAAATAAAATTTCAATTGCAAAAAAAAAACATTCGTACTTACATACCGAATACCCTCATTTCTTAAAAATGTATCCGCAACCCCGTTAAAAAAAAGAATACCTTCTGTCACCCATTTTCCACTTTCCCCTTAAAAATAATCATTCACGACTTTCTCTCAATTCACTTCACTTCATTCATCGCACATCACGAGAGCTTTGCCCAATGATAATGTCATTCCGTCTCATCATCACGTTACTTGCATATATCGTAGCATTACACGCACTCTTAGAAATCCGGTATTAAAATAGTACCAGACAATATCATATACCACTCTACCAAAGTGGTATTGATAAGTAATACCATTTATGTAGTAATAGCTCAGTATTAAAGTTTTACCATATCTGTAGAAAATTTTGTATGGACTGGTATAAATTTAATACCAAGCGGTAACAAGTTTAATACCGAGAAATCAATAAATGCCTGACTATACCAGATTTCAACTGTTAAAAATCTGGCAGAGGCATATATTTATTTACTCCATTGATTTGGTAGTAACTTCCTACCGGATGGGTAGTAGTTTGTTTCTTAGCGGTAAAGCTATTACCGTGCCGGTAGAGTCATACATATATGTACTCGGGACGGTAATAATGTATTACCAGATTTCCAAGAGTGTAACAGTGCTCAATGTTCTCCTCCTGAGCGATATGACTTTTTCACTTGCACTCTCCACCAAAAAAAAGAGAAAGTGGATCCCTCCTCGGGGACCCGTTAAACGACTTAATGCCCTTATTTGGCCCGAATTTGAAAGGGATCCCCGGTCCATGAAAAAGTTCCCTCATTTGCGAAAACAAAAGGAATATGGAGTCCAATGCGTTTGAAATTTTTGGAAAACTACATATTCACATTTTATTCCTCAAGTTTATGGGTCAATTGAGAAATTTAGTTTTATTGTGTGTCTCCTCCTTTTCCTATTTAAGGAGGAAATGAGAAAAGTTTTTGCTGCTTGATTTTTAATATTTTCATGGGTCGATGATCGACAAACGAATAAATACGTATGATAAAAATTTAGACGGAAATATCTGCAAATATTTAGCGATAAAAAGTTCCAAGAATTATTTTGTTTTCAAAAATGCTTGAAAAATGTATGTAAAATTTCTTTCTTTGAAGACTTTTCTCCATTGCAAATTATGCTTGTCATATTTTGCGTATAACTCAAAATTTATGCGATATTTTCAGTAATTCTGGTGCATCGTATTGGATCTGTTTAAAAAATTGAGCGTTATAAGATCTAGAAAAATATCAAAACCGACGTCCGGCTAAAAGTACGTATGTTCACATTCTCTTCCGAATTTCACTTAATGTGCATCTCTATTTTGTGTTCATCTTTTGCAACAGGTTCATATATTTTCTTGTAGGAATAAACTGAATTTAAAACTTAAAAAATTTCTGCAGGCGACACATGTTATCTGATTCTATTGTAGTTCCTCGAACCAATAAATATTTTCCTGAACGAATTAAATTCTCTCAAACTCCAAATGAACCTTCAATGAAATTGTACAATTGAAAATTGTAGCACATACATCCACCGTTTTAAAGTGGTATCCATGCAAATCGGCTAAATTTCCGTGTAAATGTGAATGCAGCAAGCTCCTCCCATTTTCCCCCGTCGTGGTCACACCCTCATTTCCATCCTCTTGTGAAAGCAGCACGGGATGATCGGCCAGAGCGAGGGAGAGTTCTCGGTAGCCGAGATAGTAGCCTAAAATCTGCCCGTGCCAGAGCGCCCTTTCCGGCGGGGCCCAGCAGACCCTCAGTCTCGTCGAGGAATCCGCTTCCGCCACGATTTCGATGGGCGGGCCTTCGGGGGCTTCCTCGGTCGTCGTGATCTGCACGACTTCCGAGGGCGGGCTGAAGCCGACCCCGTTTTGGGCGAGGACGCGGAGATGATAAGTCGACGAAGGGGTTAGGCCTTCGACCAGCGCGGTGGATTGGGTGGCGGGAACGGCGAGTTCTTCGACTTCGGCTTCAGTCCAGGTTTCTAGAAGGAAGGAAATATAGAAGTAGTTTTAGGCGGGGATTCGATTTAACTTTAAACCAGCGTTTAATTAATATTTACATTCAAAATAGAATGTAACAAAATTGTCACAGCTTGTAGTTACTCTAAAGCTATTACGATTTTAGGTATTATAAATTTCTGCAAAACTCAAATTTGACATTTCCCGGTTAGAAATTTGGTAACAATTTTGAATCTCCCGGAAATTATTGTTACCACCAAGCTTGCAAAGAGATATATCGACGAATGGTACCACACGTTTCTTCGAAATTCAAATTTGACACTTCCCCATTTAAAATTGGTTAAAACGTAGAAACAATTTTGAATCTCCCGGAAATTATTGTTACCAGCGTGGCAACAGGTGACAAAGACTCATCGCAGAATTGTATCATAAATTTCTACCAAACTCAAATTTTTGGCATTTCCCGAGTGGAAATTGGTAACAATTTCGAGTCTCTCGGAAATTAGTGTAACCAGTTTGGTAGCATAGCCATTCCTACCGTGACGATTTTATTACCTGTGCTTACGTATACGTTTTACCTTAAAATATAATGTTCTTACCAAAATATCTAAAATATTTACATCGACTAGTTGTTCTAGCAAATTTATTTCTTGCTATTGTGTAACTGCCAACGGGAATTCTATGCCATGACACGTCTCATTTGCATACTGTCCTCGTTAAAAACCTTTTTGTTTCAACAGATTGGACTCGTTTCTTTCTTATGAACATTTCCCAAAATTTATAACATTTTCTCATTAAATTTATTCAAGTTATTTCTTTCCTTCCCGAAAACATTTCTTGTCTTGTTAGTCGGTAGTCCCGACATTAATTTCTTTCTGCGCTGACACAAAGGAGGAGAAAGTGAGGCTAATAATAAAATAATAATAATGGTAGCAAAACAAGCATGAAATTCAATGAACGTATCGTTCTTCTCCCTCTTCACAGCTACACTCGGGTATTTTATCTAGCTAAAAACACACTTAATAATCCGGGAACAAAATTGTCATCGAGATGGTAACAATTTTTATGCATATCTCAGCCAGTCATTGGTAACTTTGTAAAATCCTCATTCGTACAATTCTGTTGATAAAATGCTGTATCTGAAACAAAAATTAAATACTCCAAAATTTAAGAATATTAACTTTCGCCGTTATTTCTTTACATAGTTTTAATAAAACCCGATTAAACCCAAACCCAAATTAAATTCAAAGCCCGATTTCTTTATTTCCTTGTCCTAAATACTGAGGTAATTCACGCAGGCCTTGCTAACTTTGCAAAATCCTCAAGTTTTGTAAAGTAATTTTAAGGACTGCTAATTTTTTCACAATGTTTGTAACATTTTGCAAAAGTTCGTAATTTTACAGAGTTACCAAGGACGGCGTGAACTGCGTGTTTTACCGAAATAATGAAATCGTTACCACAGTCAGTTTTGCACCCTCAAACTTTTACAAAATATTAAATGACGCCATTGATCTTGCTAATTTTCGTCGAAAATATTTGTAAGATGTGGCAAAAGTTTGAAATTCCACGGGTTTCACTGCTTTGACGAAGTTACCAATAACAGCTCGAGTGAATTGCTCATTGTTTCTATCGTTTACGATCGAAAGAAATCGTTACCAATTCCACCAATTTTGGTCCCCGATTATTTCGTGTGTGTACCACCCGCCGCGAAAATGATGTCGTATATTGAGATGACAATTACTTGGCCCGTTGGCTCCTGGGACAAGAAGGAAAAAGTGAACGGAAGGAGAAAGCTGGGCATGACCGAGCTTCATCTGGGGAAGGATTTCTTTGCGAGTCGCGTGAACTGAGCCGTGTCTGGAATCTAATTTAATGGACTTCTTTCGCGAAAATAATTAAGAAATCTTCTGCAATGCACGGACCTATCTTTTCCTTTTCACTCATTTTCCCTTTGACTTTCCTCTCAATCATAAATTCCAGTGTTTCGTTTGACACGTCCAAAAGCGTATTAAACTGCCCAAAATAATTTAAAAATTTCCAAAAGTCATGTCGATTTGTAGAAAAATAGGGCAAAATGTTGAAAGTTTTTTATGAACCACTTTTTCGCAAATCTATGCATGGATATGTAATCTCCCATTAATTTTGACCATTTTGGTTAGTCTGTAAGTAATACGACAAACTTTGGAAAAATTTTTGTTTTGACATATGAGAAATTCAGAAATTTTGGAAACAATGCTGCATTTGCATTACACAGCAAAATGCTCAAAATTAATGGGAGATTCGCAAATATTCGTCAACTGATTATCGACAGATTTCTAATGAAAAACCCATATTCTAAGTATTTCGAACATTTTTAGACATTTTTGACTTTCAAATTTCGGTATCCAAACCTTGTTGAAAGCCCATTTTAGATGGTTGTTTTGGACGGTCGTGGACAGCGAAACCCTGCTAAATACCAAGTCATCCCGGACCCGAGCATGTTCCAGATTCGTGTAGTAAATTAAAATTAAAATGTGAAGTGAAATGAAAGTCAAAGTGGCCAAAGGAATGGATGCGAAGAAAGATAATTAATTTGCAAAAGGGAACACACAAAGTATGAGCATGCCGGAAAAGAAAGTGGATCCGTATGAAACTGGGACGACGAAAAAATCACCCATTTTTCTGGGAAATTAGTAAAAGAAAAAAAGTTGGCAAAATTGATAACATTTTTAACGGCAACGCTATGAAAGTGACTTTTTTTAAGTTATAAAGAAGAGATGAAAAGAAAGTGGGGAGAAATTGGGAAATGATAAATAATATTTCTTTAAATGCATGCGTTTTATTCCTATATTTAATCATGGCAACCGAATTTTGGGTATCTGCTAATGCTCTTAGAAGTATTCATTTATACCATTTTTTAAGTTCGACGTGGAATCTGTACTGTATAATTATATCAAAATTAATTGTTCAGTTTCTACGTCAAACTTAAAAAATTTATGCAAACGTGTAATAGTACAATTTTGAAGATATGGGCTCCCTCAATTAGAAAGTTTACCATTTGTCTTTGATCAATTATAATGTAACGCACACACCTACACCAAAATTGATTGCATTTTTATTCTGCCCTCGAAATTATTGGAAACGATGACAAATCATGGGAAAATTTATGCACTTAAAAATTTAAACCTTGTTGAGTTCTTACCAGAGGGGAACTTGCTCTGAATGATGAAGTTGATGAGGGGACTGTTCCCGTTGAAGTTTTCCAACCAGGAAATCCCCACCGATCGGCTCCCCACCTCAACCACCCGCAAATTACCTGGCTGCTCCGGAGGCTCTGAAATTAATCAGTTAAAATTTAGCGATAAGACTTTTTATTTGCTGCAAATACTTTTCATCTACTCGGAAACATATGGTTTTTGAAGAGAATGGAAACAAATTTTTGATAAAAGAAAGGTTGTATTTGTTTTTACTGAATTTTGAAAAAGGAAATGTTTTTCAAACAATTTGGGTTTCACACTTTTTAAACGTTGAACGAAGAATATGGCGTCATCTGTTTAATGGTTTTCATAGTATTGCACTTCAAAATTTATATTTTCGGCAAGGAATTTTTCCATGTTTTTGACGAAAGTTAAATTTTTTTGTAAGACAACGGAATTGAATCTTAACCTCTTTAGGACTGCTAATTTTTAAATAAAATTTCCCTTCGGTACGATTTTGATTTCATAATTATACCTGATAGCAACCAATTAAAATTTTCTACCAGTTTCCAATATTCGAGTTTTTGACGAAAAACACGAAAAATCCACTTTTAACATTGGTCGGTATAGGGAAAATTCCAAAATTTTGGGAGAAAATGTCGAAAAAAATCCACTTTTCACCATCGGGTTTTCCACAAAATACCGAAGAAATTTTTTTTTTTTTAAACTTTTTTTCTTGAATTTTTTTTCAAATTTTTTTGGTAGGAATTTTACTATAGTGTTGTATTAATATTTCAATGTAAGTAAGTTTGAAAACTCTAACCTGTCACATCTTAATAATAGGATTTTCACTAATTGAACTTAATATTTTAATGATTTTTGGCCCGGAAGGTTTCCATATTTCTTGTAAAAGTGAAATTTTGGAAAAAAATCGGGACTGATTTTGTTTCTACTTAAATTTAAAACAGACAATTTTGTTATATTGTTTTAATTGTTCAGGTTCAAAGATCCAACCCAAACGTAATGCTTTTGGATTTAAGCAAATTAAGAAATTTTTTGCCAGAGTTAATTTTATGTAAGCACGATTTAAACATTTATGATATTTTCATCAATTTTTGAAAATATTTCGGTTTTTGTTTACCTTGCACGTTGAGCGTGACGATGGTATGATCGGACCCGAAAGGGTTGGAAGCTCGGCATGAATAAGCTCCAGAATCGCTCCGGTCAACGGAGGCTATCAATAATTCGGATAAAATACCATCCTCCAATTCTTGCTGGCGAAACGTGTACCTAAAAATAGAACAATTTGGTCAAAAATATTTTTTTTAATTTTCAGGAAATTTTGGTATTTTGAATAATTTGAAAATAAGTGATCTTGTAATGATTGAATCGGGTCATGCGGTATTTGTAAGGTTGTCCCATAATTTGAAAAAGTATGCAATTTGCAAAGTATGTAATTTTCAAAAGTGTACAATTTGTAAAAATCTTGCTATTGTAATTAAATTGGTCCACTTTGTTAGACAAATATCAAAATCGGTGCTAATGTGACATCAATTTTGTTATTACGTAATTTACACTGAGGCAATTCACGCAGTCCTTGGTAGCTTTGTAAAATCTGTAAAATCCATCAACTTACAAACTTCTTCAAATATTTTTGAGGAAAATAGGCTTACACGTTTTTGTACACTTACTCACATCAAAGGCGTCCTTTTATTTAGTAAAACGTATGCATTCAAATTATTTTACAAAATGTAAATAATTTACAAAGTTGCAAAGAACTACGTGAATTGCCTCAGTTCACTAGCCCAATTTTGCGACTACTTTATTTACAGTGTTAAATTTTCGAATTCATAGTTTGCCATTTAAAATATAATTAATAAAATTGGAAATAAATTTTCACCTGTGATTCCAATGTGGCCCAATTTTGCCGTGTTTGTTGCCCCATTCGATCAGAATTGGAAGGTCGCCACCGACTCGGCAGCCAAGAATCGCTTTCTCCCCGACTCGCACGGAAATCACGGCGTTTCCTGCTTGCTCATCCGGATTAAATTTGGCAGGTGCTGGAACAAAAATATTTAAGTCATGCATTCAATTAGCGAATTATTTTGTACTGATTGTGCAAATACTATTGAGAAAATTCAGTGGTACAGTTCCTTCCACTGAAAATTGTTATTACCTTTCATACGTTTTTTAGTCATGTAACAACGACTTTTACCGTTTTTTGTGCAATAATATGTAACCAAATATGATATAGATACAGATAGTGCAGTACATAAAAACTCTTGGAAATTAAGTGAATATTGTAAATCCTGTATTTTTTTTTAATTCCGTGTTTCATAAATTTTGTAAAATCTGTCGATTTTGCAAATTCTGTAGATTTTACAAATTCTGTAGTTATAAATATGCTAAAGCTTATATCGGAAAATCTACTCTATTTTTCCACTAGCGTCCATTACTGTTATTTTTGTAGCATAAAGTAGTCTTCTCAAATATCCATGAAATATAATGAAGTAATTTGGTCTCTGATATTTTTATAGGAAAATTTTTACACTCTTCTAACTACTAAATCTACTTCTCGATTCTCGATCTGATCTCGATTTTTTTCAACCATCAAATTATCAATAAAAAGTGAAAGCAAAATATTAATCAAGCTTAAAACCAAACCGCATACTAATTTTCTGCAAAAAGTGACTGACTTCCAACCAATTCCCACTTAATCAAATATCTCCCGGAGAAAGTTCCCAGCTCCATGGCAGATTTAATCCAATCCATAAATCAGACAATCTCGAGACAAGTTTCTCTTTTGGCTACTTTCACCTCGCCACCTTTTTGGCTCACGTCATAAATATTATCTTATCTTCGCCTCATCTCAGCTCATGATTCGATTCTACACCTTCTTCTACACTCACTTTTTACTTACATTCATCAATATTTACACAGATGGGAAACTTTCTCTGAGCAAGAAAACCTAGATTTTCGTTTTTTCTTGTTCAACAAAGTTTTTTTCTCCTTTGGCAAAGGTAACAAAGCGGAAGAGTGATATTTTCTAGCCTGGGGAGACAACTCACTCGAGACAAAACAGGACTCGATTCGCTTTCACTTTGTGCTTTCTCTTTGATTTTGCAGGGGCAGGAGTATCAGTGTCGTGTACATTACGAGAGGATGGGCGTAGCTTATCATCAGTGATGAGTATATAGCCGGGGGATAGCAATAGGTTTGCAATGCAGTGTTTTTTGGTTTTTATTTTTTTATTTGGTTCAATGTGTTTTTTATGTAACGGGTTAGTCACAATACGGTGTGTCTTTTTAGTAAGTTTTTTTTCAATTTTCGCAATTTGTTTTTCTTTTATGTGCCAAAAGTTTAATTTCTCAACCCTTAAATTCGAAATTTGCTGTGTAGTTTAAACGTCGTGGGAAAAAAATGTGAGAAACATAAATTTAGTAATTTAACTTTTCAGATAACCCTTAACTCTTTGTCTTTAGATGTGTAATTTTAGAAGTTATCAATTATGTCACCCAGTGCTTGGTACCATTGTAAAATCCGAAAATTCTGTAAACTTACAAACTGTTACAAAATATTTCAAAGGAAAAGTAGTCAACAAATTTGTGTAAACACTTGCTCAGATTAAACGCATCTCCTTATGTTGTAAAAGTTTATTTTTTTTTACAAAACCTACAGATATTCCAAACTTACAAGAACTGAGTAAAGTGTCTCACAATTAGGAATCGTGCTTTTTTGTTTTTTTAAGGATTTTTTTTAGCAACTGTTTTGTCCATTAGTGTTATCAAGTAAAAAATAAATGTCAAAAGATCTCGCACCCATTTTCACTTCAAACACGAAAAGCACCAAAAGCTCCATGGCCGAAACCCTGTTTGTGCCTTTGAGTAAATCGCCCCTCTCATCCATTCACGTAAGGCGATAACAGTAAAACATTTACGGAGAAAGTTGTCCAAGAAAGCAGGCGACTTCTTCTCCCAGTCCCACTTTTACTCAAATATTGACAACCTCCCCACTCAGAGATAAGCTGATAAATAGATAACAGCCAAAGTTTGCATCCACAACAACTTTCTTTCTCCTCCTCCTCCTCATATTTAGATTTAGTTGGGGCGGGTAACCGAAAACCTAACCACAAAACCCGTGTAAGATGTTTCTTTAATCAAGACACAGCAACAAGAAGAGAAGAATAGGAAATGCATCTCTTGTGTAAATTTGATCTCGGAAACTTTGCCCACTTTAAAGGTCGAGTCGGTTTTAGAGTTGTACTCGGACTGATGTCCACACTCTTAGAAAACTGGTATTAAATCATTACTGACCAGAGGACGTGTATATGATTCTACCGGCACTGGTAATGACGGGAATTACCGTTTAGAATTGAAAACTTTACCGCTCAGAAACACACTACTACCAATCGGGTAGGAAGTTAGATATTACTAAATCAATACCAGTGCATGTAATTTATGACACGTCCGATTTGCCTGCTAAGAAGTTAAATTATGGCAAAATACGCAAAATATAGGGCAAATATTTTCAATTAATCTTTTGCGGTAAATTTAAACCAGATTTCAACATTTTGAAATTCCTCACCAATGCCAGATTTTGGTATAAGGATTTATAAGGAACCTAAATTGCATGTAATAATTACTGATAAAATTAAAATCCACTTTTGGCACGTTAGTTATCCAATTTACGTGAAAAATTCAAAAGGCATAAAAATATATATATTTCTGTGGATCTTTTTGAAAGAAATGAATTGCATAATTCACTCTGCCATGGCTGAAAAACTGCATTTATTTTATTGCATGCCCTGGCCATCCTGCAACTCTACTCACTCGCTGTTATGCAAACCCCATAAATAGTTGGACTTAACCGTGCACACATATCTGCAACAATTTCATTACATTGAGCTCTCCTCAAGTGCCGAACTTTTTTCTGAAGAAAAGAAAGTCTTTAACAAAACAAACTTTCCCCGCCAAGAAAATATCCTCAGTAGTTTAAAGGAGTAAATTGGAATGAAATGAAAGTCAGATTTCTGAGGAGAAGGAGAAAATAAGTGAAAATGATTCTTTTTCTGGTTTTCTTCTTAAAAAACTAAATAAAAAAGAAGTGGAAAATTCAAAAATACACCGACAATTTTGTACATAGTTGGAAATGTAAAAAAGTGAGCTTTCTTTGGATTTCTTTAAACTGGAAAAGAGGAAAAATTAGAAACAAATACTGGGAAATTTTAAAACGAAGTCGGAAATTTAAAAAGAACTTTCTTTGTATCCCTTTTAGAAGACTAAAAAAGAAGTGGGCAATTTAAAAAGAGAGAGCTTTCTCTTGAAAGACTACACACATCTTCATAAATTCCAAGATAAGTCATTGTTTTTAACGACGCTTATCTGCAAACCTAAGTAAACTTTCTGCTTCATTGTTCCCAGATTAGAAGGACCACACACGCACTCAGGCCTCTCGCGGGATTAGACTTTCTCCTAATACTTTTGGTCTTAACTTTCAGTTTTACTCACTCGACTTTCCCAACTTTCTCCCTCTTTCTTCATGCCGTCATCTAATTAATCCGGGTAATTAATTAATTATAGACAGACTCGTTTTCGGGTGGTGGCCTTTCTCCGACCCGCGAGAAGAAGAAAGTGAAAGCAGGGACAGGGGGCAGCCAGCAGGTTATGTTTTGTCATTGTCGCATTATGCAAATTAGGGTAAGCATGACACTCAAAAGTAAAGTAGACAAGATTTCGAAATCCGTACACTAACCGTTCACTTTGAGGAAGATGACTTTGGAGAGGCCGGAGCCCACGTCGTTTCTCGCCTCGCACAGATAATTCCCCTCGTCCGATTTTCGAACTTGGTCGAATCTGATGGTGCCGTTGGCGAAGGGGGACGAGCTTCCGGTGGGGGAAAGGATGTCCTTGTAGTCGCCCGGCTGCATGCCTGCTGAGGGAGAGATAAGAAAATGAGAAAATGAGTTATGTATTGAAAGCAAGATGAGGGAACAAGGAAAAATGTTTAAAAATTTGGTAAGGTTTGATCAAATATGTTTTTATACTTCAAATTGGTAATAAACCAAAATTAAGTAAATTTTGTAAAATATTTTTGGTAATTTGGGTTGGTACCACATATATTTTTTACCAATTATCGGGTGACCAAATTGTGAAAACACAAACAAATAAATTAACAACACAATTGGTAACAATAATTATCAAATTAGAAATAGATACATAAATAAAGACAGTTATTAGGAAACAAATTGGTAACGAAATTTGTTACCGCAAAAAAAACTCGAGCGTAACGAATACTTTTTTATTTATTTCCACCACAATGAATAAATACCGTACCAGTGGCCCTTTTCCAAGTGATTGACGGGGTGGGATGACCCTCGGTTCGGCACTGAAGTGAAAGCGAGTGACCCGCCGACACGTTGACGTCTCTCGGCTCCAAAATCCACTTCGGCGGAACTGCAAAATTATCCACCATTAATGATCGCTAATTTCAACTCATTGCCCATTTCTGGGTAGTCTCGGATCATAGGAGAACACAGAATTGGGGCAACTTACTTAATTATCATGGCGTGGATCATCTTTACTATATTACGCTATGCATAATCTCCATATTTTTTGCAAACCGAAAAATATGTACAAGGGTTTTTGAATACTAAATAGGTTTCTGGAATTTAGCCAAAATTCTGCACTCTTTTCACACACAGAATGACACAGATGTTATATCTTTTTCGCAATTTTATAATTGTTGCACAGCTTGAAACATGGTTGTATTCTAACGAGTTAAAGATTTTTTGCAAAAAATTTTCCCCTTGTGTTTTCCATCATGTGAAACGATGTATTATGCAATTCTCCTACTTTTTCAACATTTGTTTGCGAAATTATTTTCCTTTTTCACAAATTAGTTTTAAATCATGTTACATAATGCATTCTGCAATCCCATCTATTTTTTCACTTTTCTGCAATCATAATTTTTCGCATGGTTTCGCAAACTATGCAAAAACTCATTATCAACATTGCCGACTTTATATTTTCCCTTAGAAAACTAGGCCGACTTTCACTCACTGACTTTCTTGACCTGACTTTCCCTAAAATTTGACCACCAGCCGAAACTTCATTTTCCATCGAGATCAACTTTCTCCGTCGGCTGCCCACAAAGAGACAAAGACGGATATGAAATCGAACCCGCTGGGTTTACGGGGCAGTGGCCGCGGAAGCGTGGAGATCATGTCCCCACCGTTATTCGATGTCCCCATCATCTGCAATGTTATATAAACCTCTCCCTGCCCTATCCTGGAATATTAATACCCCTACGGCTTCCACGATCACTGTTTCGGGGAGGAAGTTGAGTCGCTATTACGGCGCTTAGTGAGACATGAAGTTGGTATTTTTCCTCTCGAAAGTAAACGCGTGTCATTAATCTTCTCGCAGAAAAACCAATCTCATCTCCCAATCCACTCCACAAACGCATCGCTTGACTCGCCGCCCCCATCTCCCACCCAGCAGGACAGCGGAATGCGGCAAGGTTTGCAAAAATGTGTAAAAGTTTTTAATTATTGCAGAATAAAAATTGACAATTAACATGCCAAATTTATATGCCGAATCGGCATTGCCGATTGACACATACAAAGTTATGGAGAATATGGTTTATACAATTTAGGTGTCGTAGTTTCAAGATCTTGTTTTAATAAGAAATAACCAACTGGTTTCGATACGTTTTAATGTTATTTTTTTGTTGGAATTCGTCGCTTCTCTCCAAAACATGGGACAAATATTAAAAAAACTCTTTAATCATTGCAGAATACAGATAAAAACGGACAATTTATTTGCCAAATTTATATGCCGAGGAACAAATACAAACTTTCAGAGCATACTAACCTTACTGTGCAGATTTTCTTGTCTATCAGCACTAAGAATAAGAAAAATAAACTCACCTATTTTAAAAAATACGAAAAATTATAAGATCCCCCAAAAAATACCAGAACTTAATAAACGAAAAATAATCAGATTAAAATTAGACAATTTTACCCCCAAAAATAAAATCTCCCAATCCCACGAACCCTGTGACACTCAAGTGGTCAATCTTGCACTCGTTCGCAGTCCAACTTTCTCCTCAGCTTTCTCCGACTTTCTCATTTCTCTCCCTCACTCCTGCATCTCTCCCGATACCCGGGCAATGAGCTCCTCAAACCCGAAAACACATTATGGCATTTGGCAGAGGAAATAATGGGACGATTAATTCCCTCTTCGGCCTCCTCCCACAGCCACCAACGTAAGAGATTCACGGCCAGAAAACCATCCATCCGTCCATCCAACCGCCAATTCTTTCCCCTTTTAACGAGATAAAGAAGTCCCGGAAGCGCGATTTAGCGCGACGTGACACATTTTTTACGTGTTTATTACCCACATCAGACGTACTTCGGGACGAGGAGGATTTTTTTCGGGGAAGAATGCCATCATCGAAAATTATTCAAAATTCAAAATGCCCAATTTTATGGGATGAGGTGGTACAGGACAGATGTTGAAATTATGTAAAATTGGGGATAAATTATTCATCTGGATTTAGGGGAATGTTTGTAAACTGTGCAATTTTGATAAAATTTTTGTAACTTTTAATAAAAAACATTTGTCAATTTTTGACAATTTTGTTATAAATGAACTTATCTTGAACTGATCAACTTCTACGCAAAACCCATGTGTTTAAAACCTACGCGTACAATTCAACTTCATAAATTCTACAGAAATCACAAACGTCGTTGTGATCGGTCAAATTGTTATTTTGAAAATTTTAATCATTTTACCACTTACAAGCAAAGACCACTTTTGGAATAGGTAATCCAATATAAAATTCATTATTCAAAAATTGGCTAAATTGTGCAAAATTGTTTACTCACTTTGCACCGTAAGCTCGGAAGAATAGTGTTCTCGTCCCGCTGAATTTTCCGCGATGCAGGTGTATTTCCCTAAATAAGGAAATTTCAAAATTAGCTATTTTACCCAAAATTTTAACAATTAATTAAATGAATTAATTTCCCGCACCGTTATGGACAGAAGAAAGCGAATCGATCACCAATGTTGAGGAATACTCGTCCGGAACTCGAATCATAATGCCCTGTCAAATTTGACTCAAGTTAATTTACATGTAACAAGAGTTATCGACAGATAGATAAGCACGAAGACAATATAAGACCTCTGTGTGTGGGGACTAAAACGACAAATTTACACGATTTTTTGCTGTTTTTCGACTCCGAAAGATCATTTTCTCACATAGAAGTTACAAAAAACTGGATAAGTATTCTTATCCAATTTACTGATCAAATTATACTACATTTTCGAGCCGTTTTGCATCGATTAAGACGACACCTGTGTACTCACCAAATTTGGGGACAGTTTTAAATAATTTGTCACTAATTAATTTTATGAAACTCTGTGAAGCCTTAAATTTCGCGTTTGTGTGCTTTTTGTTAGTGAAGCTTGAGCCTTATTTGTACTCTAACAGGGGGATCCTTTACAGAAATTGATACCTTTATCAATCCCCACGTGGAGTATACAAGTTTGTAAAGTAATGGATAAATTCATTTTTAAATATAACTATTTGTCATTTTTGTAAGAATAGGAAGTCGATTTAGCAAATTAAATATAAAAAAGGATGGTTGTGAAAACTCTAGATACATATATTGTGGAATTGAATATTCAAAAAGTGAATACAAATTTATTATGATTTCAAATCGATGTTTAAAAAATCGCAAATAACGTAAAAAAAATTGAAGGACAACTTAAAAAAGTCTAGTTCGATCATTGACAACGAAAATGTGGTATCAAAATGGAATTCTTAATTTTGCACTCTTTTCACAGCTTAAAAGGATCAAATTGGCAAATATGGTCGCACAATCTGAAATGATATTTCATACATAATTTCTCAGTTTCTGCATGGATTTTTCTTTCACAAATTTTTCAACCCACACTCGTTACTCCTTAATTGATAGGATTTTGCAGTAATTTGGCCCATGCTTATGTCAATTTTTGTCAAACTCACATTCGTTACTCCTAAATTTCTCAGATTTTACATGAATTTTTCTTTTCAAATTTTCCAACTCACATTGGCCACTCCTCCCGAGATTGGTTTCCCCTCGAATTCCCAGACGAGATCGATGGGTCGATCGCCCTCGAGCAGTTGGCAGGAAACCGCCGCCCGCATTCCTTCCCGCAAAATCGTGTTCATGAACTGGAACGGCATCAGCTTCGGCGGAACTGAAGACACAAATTTGGTTCGGATGTAAATCCAACCGTGATCATCACCAATTTCGAGGAAGACGAAATTTTATGGGGTACTTTGTATCATGAAAAATTTATGTCGTAGTAAAATTTATGGGATAAATGAAACCATGAGAAATATTTGAGTGGCGAAGAGAAGATCAAATTTTGTCACAAATTGACCATCAAAAAGATATCATGTCTAAATTTAGGAGAAGAAAGTTTGATGAAATCGGGCCGTTTAATAAAGTTAAAATTTTTGAAGGCAAAATTTGCGTATCAATTACACAATTAAAACACAGTAGAACTTTGTAAAATCCGTAAAATCTGTAAACTTACAAACTTTCACAAATATTTCTGAGGAAAACTAGCCACCAAAATTTTGTAAGTTTACTCGGATCAAGAGAGTCTTTTTATTTTGAAACAGTTTGAATCCTACATAAGGCATTTTCACAAAATTTACGGATTTTATAAAGTTGCCAAGGACTGCGTGAATTGTGTCAGCTTGTCAAGGTACACTGATTTAGGTTGTACGAATACGAATTGTTTATTACAATTGTGAAAATCGAAATTCTGGAGAGATAAATTTAAAGATTTTTCAAATTTTTGGATCTTTGGAAGTTAGTCGCTCGTATAAATATGGAGTTTAATTCATCTTAAAAGTGTTACATTCAATTCAATTTGAAAATAAAATTCAATGTGGCATTAAAATTTCACAATCACAAAATTTTTCACTCCTATCTTTGTTGACCGGTAAATTGTGCAAATTTATAAAATTTGGAGACACAGGTTAACAAAAAAATGTACTCTGATTTTTCTATTAATTCAAGTAAATGTAGGTATAAACTTTTACGGATTTTATAAAAATTCAAATTTTGCGTAATGAGTAATTTACGTAACTACTAATATTTAATAAATTACGCGAAACTAACCGACAACACGAAGGTGAATGTCTCTGGAGGAAATTTGTCCTTGTCTGCCCTTCGCGTGGCAGGTGAGGATCCCTTCGTCCGTTTTCTGAAGGTGCTCCAAAATCAGCGTTCCGTTCGGGTAGACGCGCTGCATTCTCGTCACGGGCAGAAGACTGCCGCCTAAGGTGTGCGAAAAGTTCAATAATGCCCGGTTATTCATTACGAGCTCACGTTTTTAAATTTTTAGAAAACTAAATTCGTGTTTCGTTTTTTGCGGGTTTGCTACATTTCTTGAACTGCAAAGCATGAAAGAAAAAAATGCAGGGTGGAAATTTATAAAACATTTCTTTAAATGTATCGTAAACACGCCGTTTTGGGAAACTTCAGAATTCTACTTATTCATTAATATTTATAGATACTTGTCGTGTTTTTTCATAATTATTTTCCAGTTCGATACCGTTAAGGATAAAGTTATACTTGTCTGCAAACCGTATCATTTTATTAGTTATCAGTTACCTCTCTCCCAAGAAATGCTCTCGATGGGATATCCTGAGACGGGGCACTGGATCTGCAAATTCTTCCCAGCCACACCCTTTATCGGAGGAACGGGTCGGACAAAAGGGGGACCTGAAAGAGCAAACTTGGAATAAAAAATTTTACTCATTTAGTATAAACAAAATTGAAACTCGCATCACACACATTTGCCGACAAGTTTAATTTTGTCGGCAAATAATGGTTACGAACATGGTAATAGTGTTTCTGTCACAAATTTAAAATAATTCCCTTACATAAATGACCCATTATTTAATTTAGGGGAAACTACTTTCTCTCGCGAAAATAACACCACATTTTCACAACCACAAAATTACCCCGATTTTTTATTACTTTCTCCTCGATCGGGATAAAAAGTAAATTGAGTGATGCAATAAAATAAACTGGTTTACCCACAAATGAGATAAATCGCCTGAAAAAAGACGCGTTACGGACACAAGTAACATAATACATGGGGAAAGTTGAAGTTGAGGAAACATTTAATGAAATGCGACACAAGAAGAGAAAAGAAAGTCAAAGTCGAGTTGTCAACTTTCTCCGGGTTTCTTTTCCCTGGTCCCACACACTAAATAAATCTGGGACAGAAGTTTGAATTTTGCTGTAAACAAATTATAACCACGCTGGTTACATGATAAAATTGCCAGAATACCGGGTATTTAATTTTCTGTGTAAACAAATGCTGCCAGTAAACTTCTGATTATTTTGTCTCGATTATTTCAACGAACTTTACATACACTTCATACTGGCCTAGTTTTTCAGACTATTAAGAGTGCCCGAAACTGATCCAGCTTATTTAAATGGACAATAAATCATTTCTGGAAACCTTTCTCTTTCCACTTTCTCCTCGAAAATGCACTAAATCCACTCGAACAAGGAGTACTTTTCCTAAGAAGGGACATTATTTTACTGCTCACACTTTCTCTTCCGGGACAAAGTACGGACTTTCTCCCACGACACGAGTTTCCAGTGAAACTGAACAAGAGGGTCAACTGCCACTTTTATTGCGAGCACTTCCCCCGACTTTATTTTACACTAAATGTCATAAAAAATATGATAAATTGGAGATGATGCGGTCTGATTTGTGTTCGTGTGGAGAAAAGATTTCGTTACGAGGGTTCATTGTTCTTGTACGCGATAAAAATAAAATATGCTAATTTTACAAGGTTTTTTTGGGGGGAGGGGGTGATCTTTAAGGGAGGATAATGTGATTTTTTTGTGGGGAGGATATTTGAATTTGAACTAGTTTGAGGGATGCATGACATTAGTTTTGGACAAACTAAATTTTGATAATTTTTATAAAGTTCTATGAAATTTGATGAATTTTAACCGAATTTTGAAGAGTATTTAATGAAAATTAGTAGCGATGCATGACATATGGAGGGAAGACAATTTATTTTTTTTTATTTTTGTAAATTTTAATAAATTTTATCTCCATTTTGGAGTAATTATTATAGGTTTGACACGTGGATTTGGGAAAATTCATACGTCTTAACAAGCATGCTGGAAATTTTCAGAATTGATTTTTTAGCACAATTCAACCATAAATATATACAATATCAGCAAATCAGCAAACTTCATAAATCCATAAAATCCGTAAACTCACAAGCTTTTACAAGGATGTTTAGCTTAGAAATATTTGTAAGCTTACTCATCCTCAGATGAGAACGGCATCTTGTTACTGATATTGTGAAAATTTAGTAAACTAATTTTACAAAGTTTAAGGGTATCACAAAGTTAGCAAGGCTTGGGTGAAAAGTCGCAATATCCAAATAAATGTTGTGAATAAGTTCCACGACATGTTGTTATTTTCTTAAAACAATAATCCCGTCTTGTTTGTGAGATGATATTGTTCACCATTTCCAAATTAAACTTAACGAAGTTACGATAGTAAATAGCACTTTAATTCATTTGTATATTTTTGTCATACTTTGTTACAAAAGTTACAAAGATACTCTTAACTTGTTTTTCTAATTTACATGTAAAAATTAACGTGGTTACCATAAATGTTGAGTCTTCCTGTGTGGAAAGCGATGCCCATGGCGTTTCTGGCCTGGCAAGCATACAGCCCGCCGTCCTCGTCCCGGGCCTGCGTTATGTTCACGTGCGAGATCACATGGTCATGAATCGTGACGTATTGGCCGACCAAAAATCTGTAAGAAATTGGTGAAAAATTAATCACAACTTTCTGAAAATAGCAAAAATGGGCGTATGTGGAGTGCAATTGAAAGATATAAATCTCCAACAAGGATTGATGGAAAAGTTCTTCAGGAATTTTGAAACCCATAAAATCTTTTAACAAATGTCGAACATTGGAAATTTTACGAAACGTTATGAAATTACCTATATATAAATTTTTGAACATTATGTTAATAACAAGATGTTATAAAGCGAAATGACGCTCTTCATCTAATTATTTTAATAAATTCCATAAATTTTTCAACAATCAAATTTGGCGTTAAACCCATTGATACGTTTATTACATTAAACAAAAACTACAATATCGCTGGCTTGCTTTTGAAACTATTGGGAATTGTGAAAGTCTACACTTTGACTTAAAGTAAAATTTGTTAAAAAAACTTTCGCAGGCAAGAGAAACAATTGAGGCAATTCACAAAGTCCTTGGTAACATTGTAAAATCCGTCAACTTTTACAAATTATTTCGAGAAAAATTAGCTTCAAAAATTGTGAAACTTGCTCAGACCAAGGGTAAAAGTGTATAAAACAATTTTACACAATTTACGGATTTTACAAAGTTAACAATGACCGCACGAATTGCATCAATATGAATCTCGTCTAACTTGATAGTGCAAGTTGTGCGTCTAACAATGGAGGTCTCCCAACGTATGCTCACAGATTTGAACCAAATTAGCGTCAATCGGTCACAAATATAATTAGGTTGAAATTTGCAAATGGAACTATCTGCCAATGCGCAGGTTTGGCGGAGATATTTGCGTAAAAGGAGGAGAAAACGCATCCTCCAGGCTGGGAAATTTGTCGTTTTCCAAATTTGCTGCGCCTTTTTCCCGCCTTGGATGCAAATATCTCCGCTAAACCTGCGCATTGGCAGATAGTTCCATTTGCAAATTTCAACCTAATTATATTTGTGACCGATTGACGCTAATTTGGTTCAAATCTATGAGCATACGTTGGGAGACCTCCATTGTAAGTTAGAATTTTTGCTTTCTCCACCCACCTTTCACTTTCCGGCAGTGCGAAGCCGTCCAAAGTCCATGTGAATTGCGGGGGTGGATTTCCGACGGCGGTGCATTTCAGCGATACGGAAGGACCAGGTTGGATCGTTTGTTCAGAAAAGCGATACAACAGCTCGGGCAGGACGGCTGAGAAAAATGTGAAAACAAAATTGGGACACACCTTCATTTATAAATACAAATTGTAGGTTCATAATACAAAAAAAATTATGTGCTACTGTTCGTTCAAAAAATAGAGGCAGAAAATCTGAGAGGTTATCTGGTTACCTGGAACATGCATTTTTTAAATTTAAATACTTTTCTCAACATTTTTTTGAACTGATAAATAGTACGCAGTAATTTTGAGAAATTTGAAAGATACTAATTGCAGGAATTTCAGGCGGGGATGTTTGTAATTCTGTAAGCTCTGTAAACTTTCGATTGTTTAGCAGGTAAAAATCTATTGTGCCATTTTATTTTAGACACTTGTTCTCCCTAAACTTTTGATCCACTCTTTGCTACGCCTGGTATATCTGATACTCATAAAACGGACCCAAACTAAGGAAATAAATGAAATCTGGCGTGTAACTTAGGCAAAACTAAAAAAAAATAAATTCAAACTGGCAATTCTATTTCTATCAAACACGCAACCAAGAAAAGTTTTTGATTTGTGGTACACTGCGTAGATTAAATAGGTTACGTGAATCCCTTAAAAACTGCGAAGTTGAAATTTTAAAAACTTTCTTTCTTCAATTTTCATCAAAGTAATTACAAGCAACAAACATTTTTTCAAAGCTCTGCGTCATCCTTACATCCTAATCGTATTAACCTCGCATAATTTGAAAATTTTACAAATTTTCAGGTTCGGATTAATTACTACGTAGATACACCTAAAGAGCATCCACTAAGGTTTTTGACTGACGAAATAAAATGCTCAGAACTTTTTACACAGTTAATGCAATTTCAAAAAAGTTGCATATGTTTACTACCAAAGGGTTTGGATTGCCATACAGTTCAAATTTTAATGATTCAATTCCGCCGTCTGCTACAGTTTGCATTTTCTTCTTCCGATTTCGCGTCAAATTCCGCCCATAGACTGCACCTACTTTCAAGCTGATTTTCTTCCATCTGTTCTTAAATTTGTATGGTAAGGTATGTGGCTTTTCTGAAAGCTTAGAATATTTGGACTTAGTCAGCGCTCAGAATTTCTCAATTGGTCGCAGTTGAGGAAAATTTGGTGGGTTTCCATTTTTTGGCACATATTCAATTTTTTTCAGATGTCGGTACTCAGTGACCTTCTTGGCCTCATTGGACCTTGCGAGGTCAGGCCAAACAAAACTTTATTTTTTTATGATCTGTAGTAATAAAAGATTCCAATCCCCCTTTAATGCATGATTTAAGATAAACCTCCTGGTTTACAGTGCCCTCCAAAATGACGGGATCGGAAACATGACCAATGCCAGACTTGTGTTGCCAAATTCTTCATTTTTTTGGAAATTGGTCTTTCTTTTGGACTTTATCTTCATATTTTACTTCACAGGGGTTGGAACTATGGAAAAAATGCCTTCCTGGAAGATTTGAAGTGTCATCTGTGACGTGGGGCTCATCGCCCATGATGACCACTTTTCCCCGAATCTTCTTCAACAATTTCTTGCAGCATGCAAGAACCCTTTCCTGTTGTGTTGGTTTGTAAGTTGGTGCTGTTTTTTTGCCCTGGCTATAATCCCTAGTTTATGGACTTTGATTTTGCACAGATAGCTTTTTGAAATCTCGACCTTACTTGCGGCGCCAGCCGTTGTCGTTGATGGATGATTTTTGAAGATTTTTTAAATCCGATTTTTGATTTTTGTCGTCGATAGCTTTGCAGGTCGACCAGTGGGGACTTCGAATTTGAGTTCATTCGATTCCTCGTACTTTTTTATGTAAGAGTTGACATTTGAATGAGGAATACCTTCTTGCTTGAAAAAGTGCCAAGTGATTTTAAAATCATAGTTTGTTCGATTTTTGTGAAACTCAATCACTCTTTTTTTCAACTCTTGCCTTTCAACCCAAGTTTTTCTAGTCTTAGCCATGACTCAATAATTGGTGACATATATCGATGGAAAGCTTATAACTTGGTCTATTCAAAAATAATTTTTTCGAAATTTAATTTCGCTGTGTTCCCGCCTAGCGCGCCTTTGACGGGGCAGTCAAAAACCTTAGTGGATGCTCTTTAAAATATTTTTTAAAATTCAAAATTGAGCTTTATCCTTACATCCTAACCGTATCTGGGAAGAGTCCTGCCCCGTCGTGAAGTCATTGGAGGCGAGGCACTGGTACATCCCCGCGTCGTCCGGCTGAACATGGACCAATTTCAAGACTTCGCGAGGCTCCACTTGGAATCTGGGGGAGGAGCTGGGCCCGTTTTCCAGGTCGGCGAGGGCCACGCCGTCCTTGAGCCAGACGACGGAATGGACCGGCGAACCGGAAACGAGACATCGGAGCGAAGTGGATCGCCCCACGTCCACAATTTGCGTCGGAGGAGACACTTGCACGCGGAGAGGAACTGTATAAAAAAATCGTAATTTGTTAGGAAATTGGTGTCAAAAAATTTGTAAAGTTTTTCAAATCATTTAGAAAATTAAAAATTCCCATTTTATTACATCAATATGCGATAAGTTAAATTTGTAATGTTTGTAATAAGGATTTATTATCGATAAAATTTGCAAATTTGGAAATCTTATAAAGTTGACAAAACCGTGCTATAAATGTGCGAATTGGCAACAAGTAATCGTTTGCGGTTGATTTTTTTGAAAATATCTTGTATAGTCTGGAGGTCTAAAATTTAATTTTTGTATTTTTGTGATTAATTAGTAAACATGTCATGTCTGACAACTTTTTCACGGTTGACGGTGCAAATTAACTAGGAGTTTGATTCTCGTTGGATGAATTTGCAAATATCGCTGAGCATTTGGAGATTTTGTCGTTTGCAAATTGCATATTAATTAAATTTGTGATCGATTGACACCAATTTGCTCAAAATCGGGGATCATTCGCTGGGTGGGAGACGTCCATTGTATTTAAGCGTAAAAGGGCTACATTTTTTTTGTCTCACTTTCCCTTCTATATCCACCACAAAAGTCGCGTAATAATAAAGTCATAAATTAGGCTACCGCCACCTCGTAAGCTACTCTTCGTCACACGACACTTGGACTTGACGACTTTCTCGCCTTGTGAAATAAGCCAACTTTCACTTTGGACAGGACAGCGAACACGTAAATCCATCAATCAGTCCATTCTCAGCCAGGCATCCATCGAACAACGGGGAAAGTCGTGTCGTTCAAGGGAAACCTTTGCAGTCGGTACAGGTTCGCGCAGCCCGAGCCGACAGGCTTTATATAATCACGATAAAACTAATCCTCATTAGTGGATCTGTTAATTTATCACCAAATGATAGCAGTACTCAGGCCCCGTTCTAGGCCATGTGGCGCCCTAGGCAAAACTATAATGGCGCCCCTGCAGTACTCATGCCATCGGCGCTAGAAAGTACTTTTACTACACCTCACTATGGATATAATCGTACACATATTTTCGTTTTGCACTAATTTCATTTACACAAATGACAATTGTTTAAATAGGTTTAACTACAGATTTAATTTTAATTCTTGAAAAATGATTGACTATTATTATGGAACAGAAGCTTCATACTAACAGAGGAAAGGTGTAAGGTGGTTATCTCCGCAAGCTGAACAATGCATAATTTCGATATTTCGGTATTTCGATATTTCGATATTTGAATATCGAAATCCTGCAATTTATGAATTAATTTAATTAATTTCGGCCAAGAATTCCAACCAAGTATTGTGTAACCAAGAAAAATTCAATTTAGCAAAGTTGGGGGTGTAAGTAAGAGTTCAATTTTAGAAAATCTGGGATACAACCAATTCAAAATAATTGGATTTTGGAAACTTTGGGGGCGTAACCAAGTAATAACTGAAGTTTGGGAAGTTTGGGGGTGTAGCCAAGTTATAATTCATTTTTGGAAACTTTGGAGGTGTAACCAAGGTAAAATACAAAATTCAAATCTCGAAATATCGGAACTACCTACCCTAGGGGCGACTACTTGTAAATTATTAATCTCAAAAATAAGCGGTCCAAGTTTTTTGTTTTGCATGAAAATAAAATTGCAGCCAATACCTGGATTTTTCCAATTTCACCCACTTAAAAAATTCAGCACAATTTTTGCTTAGAATTAGTTCCCTTAAATCATAATAATTTGTTCACTTTCAAAAAGCTGATATTTTCGTGCTGCGAGATTTTCTGAAACTTTCAAGACTCAAAAACCATATGTTATAATTAAAAGTTAAAAAATGAGTTTCTATCAACTCCTGACTTAAGTAATTCTAAGCACAGCATTCTTAGTTCTCTTATTTCTGAGCGTGAACAATTTAAAATCGGCCCGGTCAAAATCGGAGATAACCACCTCACACTTCTGTATTTTAACTTACAATTTGTCGTGGACATTTAAAATTTGTAAGAATCCACAACTAATAAAAAATTCCGCAAAGAAATGAAATGAGAGAAAGTAATTCTGTTTTTATCTAGTGTACATACAGGGACGCCTGCCGGCGCCCCTCAAATTCTAGCGCCCTAGGCGGTTGCCTAGCTCGCCTATACCTAAAACGGGGCCTGGCAGTACTGACAAACCCTATTCAAATTTGACCAATTGTTGGGGTAAAAAAAACTTGAAAAACTACTTATTTCTCTGTCTAGAATTTATTTTTTTAACTGTGTAGGACTAAAATGCAAGGAAATGTAAAAAAACGATTTTCGTGTAACTTAACTGGATATGGTTATTTGTTTGGGACGGCTTTCGAGTAAAAATTGAAAATTTTCTGCTGAAACGTAAATCATTCCCGAGCAATTTTTTTAAGCCGTGTTTGTTTTACTTGTTTGTTCGAAAATCAAATGAAAAATAGCAATTCGAGTAAAATAATCAATAGTGTAACGTCACAAAGCTCGAATCTGTGTATTTCATCTCATTTCAGTCTTTTCATGTTCATTTGGAAGCCGCAACTCATTGGAACGGATCTAAATATATAATGAGTTTATACATCTGCGTTTTCAGAATTTTTCTAAAAAGGTATTGAAATCTACCACTGTTGAAAAGTTGAATTTTTTTAAGATTTGATTTATTTAGATTTAAATCTCATTTTACGATTAGTTGTATAAAATTAAAGAATAAATTCAGGTTTTTTGCCCCAATAATTATTTACTGTTTTTTGTGACCAAATTTCTTTAAGCAAAAATATTCGTCGCACATCGTTGAAATATTTACTAAATTCTGAAAAAACAATGTAACAGATTTACGTATGTATTTTCAAAACAATGGCGGAAATATTCCTAAATATTTCTAAATATTTATGATGTCTGAAAATCTACAAATATGCAATAATATGTGAAAATATTTTGAACTTTTTGTGATCTATGCGATTTAGCGAACACACCCACAAAGTTCCGTGGGTCATCATCAAATGAAAAAGTTGAAAATAAATACATTTTCGCCCTCTGATCATGCAATTAAACGGGAAAAATTGATATCAGCAAGTTAAATTTGGGTTATTACCCTTATTTATTTACGCCGATATTGCCTACACGGTGATGATTTTGTTACCAACTTGTCATCGTTTCTGGTATCTAATGTTTGTAAGCAGTAATAACAACATTGATTTATCGGCATTATCGGCAAATTGAACAAATTAATTGGATGGTATGCAAATATAAGTATCAAATATGTAATAAATTTTGAAAAAATATTCTTATATAAAGTTCAGGACAACGAAAGTACATATCCCTGCCAGGATTAGTTACGTTTTAACAATTTTGGAAAAAAAATAATAAAAAACGGCGTTGTTGATAATTTGAATTACTGATCATAAACAGACAGACAGAATGTCATCCTATTATGCGAGGGCTAGCTGAACATATTAATAAGTTGCAAAATAATAAATTTTGCACAAGTGATTTTTTATCAAATTCATCCTCAAAGATTAGCACAAGTTATCTAATCTCAAGGCAAGATATTTCTGTTCACCTGCCAGGACTAGTTGCGTTCATAAACTTTTGCCAACAAATAAAAATGGCGGTGTTGACAATTCAGATTGAAATTGAAACTATTGATATCAGATCACGAACAGCCAGCCAGCCATGTCGGTTACATGAGGCCAAGTTCCGCCTAAACGAAGAAAGTGAAAGGGAGTTCATTTCATTTTGGTGTAAATATCGCCCCCTCGGGTCTACTTTCACTTCATCTCGAAACAAATTTATTTCTACAATAAAACCATTTCTGTCCTGTTCCACTTTCACTTTGACTTTCTCTCCCGCTTCAAATCCCTCTTCGACTCGGATTGATTCCTCCTTTGACTCATTTCACTTACGAGTCAAGAAAGACATTTGTTAAGCTTTTTTTTGTTAAGATTGTGTAATGGATGGGGTGTTGTGATTGTGAAGTTTGACGAAATTAGCAATTTTTTGTAAGGATTTTTTTTGTGCATCTGAATTTTTTTTAGCCTTTAGCTAAACAAAACTCATTGTGAATTGTGATGATTAGAAATTTTGCAGAAACTGTATCTTGTAATTGTCCACGTTTTAGAAATTGGCCCAGAAATGTACCCATTTCAGAGTTGACAAGCTTACTTACCCCTCTAAGAAAACGTAAAATTTGAAGTATTAACCAAAATTATTAACCAAATTAATTTGACAATCAATTTTCTTTCAAAGTGTGTAATTTAAATAAATTTGAACTTACAGATTTTTCAAATAGTAATTTATAAAATATTTAGTACTTTGGAAAATCCAGAAATATTGTAAACTAAACGGAAAATATTATGAAGTGCTTTAGTGGTGAATGATAAATTCAAAAATTTCGAAATCATAGTTAATTAAAAGATACAAATTTTTCTTTTAACTTCTGTGAGGATGACCCAAAATCTTTTCAACTGTTTTTGTACCAAATTTTCACAGGTTTTTATGAACAACGTCTAACTTGTACTATAACAATAATATTAAATCTCAAATTTGTTTACAAGATTTGAAACAAAAAATAAATTTTATCTAATTCGATAATTATTATTCGAAAGTTTGCAAAATTGACGGTACTTGCCTAATTAATTGAGAGAAAGCTTACCAATATTATGAAATATGCAGTTCTCACTTTCAGTCATTTTCGACATTTTAAATTTCCAACTTCTTGGAAATGATTATTCAATGCGTAATTAATTTGTTTACACGCTAATTGAATTCGCATAGACGGACAAAATTTGAAATTTTATCAAGGAAATTGTACCCATCTTTAACTGGAGAATCTGATTGAATAATAAAAAATGCAAAATCATTTGCGAAAATGTGTCCAGTATGCAAATTTATGAATATAGGTATACATTTACCTTTTGATCGCTTAGATTGGTTTACTAACTCACTAATTGTTTTAAAGTTTTCAAAATTTACAGTAATTAATTTCTGTGACAAGTGGGATATATATTTTTTTCAAAAAAATTACCAAAAAAATTTTCAATATGCAACTTTCATGAAAATTTATTGCTTGTTATTTTGCTTAGCTTACCATAAACGACGAGTTGAACGACGGCTTGGTCGACGGAGTGGGAATTGTTGGCGCGGCAGAGGTACGAGCCCGCGTCCTGAGGCCGCACTTGCGCCACGTGGACCACGCTATTCTGCGGCGAGGAAGACGGTGACGAAGACGGCGGCCTTTTCGACGTGGGAAGAAGGTCAGATAAAACACCGTCGATTTCCCGATGCCACCTGAAATTCAGAAATAAAAACGAGGAAGTTAAATTTGTTTTGATTTGGAGAGAAAATTGTGTAGAATGTGTTATATTATTGGACTGAATTTTAATAAATGAGGTAATTCACTCAGGATCAGTTATTGGCAATAAACTGTAAAATCTATAAATTTTGTAAACAAATTATTCAAACTTTTACAAAATAAAAGACCCCCTTGATTTGAGAAAGTTTACAAAAATGTGTACTGTAAACTAATTTTCTCTTGAACCATTTGTAAAGTTTTGTAACAGTTCTGCAGAATCTACGGATTTTTGAATGTTACCAAGACCTACGAGAAGCGGCAGTCTGTTCAAAGTGGAAGTTATGTGAGATAAAACACCCTCAATTTCTCGATATAACCTGAAATTTAGTAACAAATAGAAGAAACTTGAAGATGTTTTAATTTGACAAGAAAATTGTGCCGAAAGCGTTGTATTATTCGGCCTAATTTCAAAAAGTATAATGGCAATTTTTAACTGATGCGAATTTGTTTTGAAAAAGCATGACCTGCTATCTCAAAATCATTACAAATATACTGCAAACTGTATATTTTTTAGTTACGAGCTTATTGTTACTCAAATTGAGGTCGACATCACACCATAATTACGTCTGGAAATTTACAAATACCAGTGATAACTCTGCCTGCTTTTTCCATAAAATTATCTATTTCCCTGATGGAATTTTCACGTAATTCGGAAAAGGAAGGATTATAAGGTTTTGAGAAATCTGAAGAGATGTTGTTTACCAAAATACAAATGTAATTATGAAATCACCAATATGTAAATAGTTACGTATTTTCTCCACGATTTTTGCAAATCGCAAATAAAATTTCAATTTAACGAAAATTCTTGAAAGCTCAGGGCAATTGTTTTGCTTAACTATTTTCTTTTGAAGTTGAATATGCAAACTCGTTTTGGAATCCTTGATATATTTATCCCCTCAAAAAAATAAATCTCACTGAAACGAATCTCGTTTGCCATTTGCAATTTTAAACTGGGTCAACAAATCTGTTGACTCAAATCCTCTTGACGTCAATCACTAGAGAAAGTACTTAAATACCTGCTCAGAATAGCAATCTCTGGATTTTTGCATGCAAACTTCAGAATATTCTAGCATCGTGTGCAAATTATGGAGGCACAACTTTCCCCAAATCTTTGCTAGACATCGGGCAGGTAAAAATATAATTGATATTTTTTTGCATTTTCTTTTGCATTTGTATTCTGTTCTCAAATAAATCATGCATAAAACAAATTTTGCTCGCGTACATAACTTTTAGCTGCAATAAATAATTATGCCAAAATTGTTATATAAGTTTAATTTATGTTGAATTTAAACTAATTTAATTATTTTCATTTGTAAGATAGATGGTAAAGATGAACTAAAAATTGTACGTTATTTGTAGAAACGTAACGCCGTGAAGACATACATTTATGATTTTTCGTTAAAAACCAGTAAAAGATAAGCTGTTGAAACGACCTTTGTTGTTAAAATTTGATTTTGAAATAGATGATGCAAGATTTTTTGTACTGATATCAGTTAAAAACTCCAGATTGGAATTTTTGTAGTTTTCCAAATAAATGATACACAATCATGAAAAATGGGATTTAAAAAATTGTGTAAATTTAATTTACAGGCATGTATGTTTAGTTTTTTTTAATTTAATGCCTAACTGGAAGAATAATAATCTAATTAGGTAAATATTTACTAATTATAATTAGCTTAATTAATAAGCCATGATTAAATGGGGGTTTCTTACGAAAAGGACGGTGGCGGGTTTCCCTCCGCGTGACAGGAAAGGTGCGTTTCTTCACCGGCGCGAACGCGTAAATTAGTCTCCCTTTGTCTCAATATTCGCACCGCTTGTGGTCCCTCAGGTTCTGGAGAAAGTTTAAAAAAAATGGATTTTAAGCATGAAATGCAATAATTCGAACCACTGGAAAGGTTGAATTCGGTTGAATTCGGCTCATTCGAAATAAATATGCAAAACTTCCCGATTTTCCTCAAAGAATGTAGAATTTTTGTATTTATTCAGTCAATATGGTTTTCCCACGAGGAAACTCGTTTATCTATTATGACATTTATCATAATATTATTTTCCAATAATTACTAACGGAATTGAAATTCATCTTCAAATTAAAAAATATATATATATTGTTTTACTATTATTTTTTTTAATTCACAAATAAATAAAAATAATAAAAAATTGACATATAGATAGAATTTGTAAATTTTATTGCAAGTTTTATTACTCAATTGGATTTTAACTTTCTACCTTTCTTTCTGCAAACTTGGAAGTATTCCACTTTCCCGATATTTTTTATATTCTTAATTTTTAAACCTGGCCTAAAAGATGAGAAATTGAGCCAAAGCAAACCACGAATGTACATATATTTGGTTGGGTGTATAAAATATGTCGAAACGAATTTGCTGGATGGGTGTCATTGTCATTTGCGTAAAATTGCACAATGCGCAGGAGAAAAGAACGCTTCGTATTCGGGTTACGTAACGATTTCGTCTGCGTAAAACATTTCCTCAAGAGGCGAACAATTACATAAAATTCAATTATTCATTAATGACCGGGAGTCAATTGTTCCCCATTCAACCAACCAAGTTGGATACACTCTAAAAAATTGCGGTGAACAATTCGGGTAAAGAAATAGGAGTGAATCCTTGGTTTAAAAAAACCCTATAAATAAAATAAATTTGTGAAATTTTCACCATAAATTTGGTAACGAATATTACCAAGGAAGCGAATTTTTTAGCAATTTCACACACTAATATTTTTTTTGTATCAACCGTACCATAACTCTGTATGAGATGCATAAATCTTAATACACAAATTAAGTAATATTGATACAATTAACACAGTTTTTTGTAGCCTTGTAATACCCATAAGTTTCGCAACATAATTTTGCAAACTCTTATAAAATGAAAAGACGCCTCTGAGTAAAGTTACAAAGTTTGTTTGTAAGCTAATTTTTCAAGTTGGTAAAATACTTGTGACTAGATTAAATTTTTAGTGACTGATTTTTTTGGGTTATTTGGTCCCGATAATTAATTATTTCAGTTATTTAAATATGAAAATGTTAAAAAGGTGAAAAAACTTGTTCATCGGAAGTAGTTGTTTTCAGAAAAAAGTTGGTACATGATGACACGTACACGTTTCCAAAATTTGTGAATTTAATTTTTTAATTCTTTCAGTGAAGGAACACATTAAGTCTTTGATAACTTTGTAAAATGCGTAAGTTTTGTAAAATAATTTTACAAACTTGAACAGACGCGCTTGATGTGAGTCAGTTTTCAAAAATTTGTAAATTCGCTAATTATCCTCAGAAATATTTCTAAAATTTGTAAATTGGCTAATTATCCTCAGAAATATTTCTAAAATTTTGTAAAAGCTTGTAAGTTTTCGGAATTCCCGGATGTTATAGGCTGTTATTAAGCCCCGCGTGAATTGCCCCGGTGAAAATTTTGTTTCCACATTTTTTTAGCGTGACAGAATGACTCGATTGTTTCATAGTTATCGGACTAACGAAGAAGGAAGGGAAGTGGATATGCAGATGGTCGTGGGACGCAGCCTTTAATAAATAATTTATGCGAACTTTACGCATTTATTTTGAGCCTGGATCTCATCAGGGCAGCCGAGATCTGTCCGTTCAACCAAGAAATTAATGATGATTACGCTGCCACGTTTTTTCCATCACGGTCTTCCTCCCCCTCTTTTTGAGGAGGCTCGCTTAAAAATTAGAAACACATGGAGAAAGATATATAACGTCTGTAAAGAGTAAAGGTAGAGAAATATGGAGTTCACCCAAATTTGATTTTTTCTGATAAATTGATAAAGTAAAATGTAAGACAACTAAACTTAACACGGATTTGACCAGAAATTCGACAAATTTTTGTCGAAAAAAAGAAACAATTCAGGAAGTCCTTGGGAACTTTATAAAGTCCGTAAATTGGTAAGATAAGATTGGCAACTTCTAAAACCTTAATTCTTTCCTTTTTCCTCAGCAATTTTGTAAATTGTACAAAATTTACACCATTACAAAATTCCACGAGAAAGAAGTCGCAAAATTTTCATACATAAATTTCTAAGAGTGCATAACCTCCCTGAAAGACGAGTGCAGTTATTTTATTGCGTCCATTTTTCTCCCCATCTTTCCACAAACTTTCTCCTTTTCTACTCTCACTTTTCCTATATGAGAGAAACCATTTTATTCGGATTATTACGAGATGCGAGAGAGAAAAGAAAGTAAGAAAAAAGCTACGTGTAGGTAATCTGAAAACTTTCCGAGTCCTGATACGGACGAAAGTTGAAAGTGAAAGTGCGTAAGATTTTGACGAAATGAGGTCCCGGATTAAATTCCGTGCTTTCTATTTTCATTCGAATCGTCATCATCATCATCATTACACAGAGAAGCCATTAGATTTTAAAAGATTTACATTTTTCATGCCATATTAGAACTGCGAGGCGATAAATTCATGCCACATATTTCAGAGATCAATGCCAACCACTTTCGCGGGGAAGATGGCGTCAATTTTCATGAATTTTCGGCCGCGCAGTGCGGCGCGACGCGAGGTCGTAATATTGAAGGAATAGGAACTCCGACTTATCGAAGCCGACGACACGTAAAACACTACAGGCGGGGCAGCATGCGATCCGATGACCTTTAACACGTGTAAAGAGGGGTCAACATGACATCATTACATTGGCTCAATCTATCGCCTTGTCAATTTGGGGTCAACCTTCGGCGTACAATCCAGGGATTTTTACATATTTATGCGCGGCAATAATTAAACGCATGTCGTTTAACTTGTTCGACTTTATAAATTCAAGGCAGTAATTCATTCATGCATTTCAAACCCATGTAAACGTTGTAATTTTTTTTAGAAAAGTGGAATATTGTAAATTTTAACGAAATATTAGTTTGTACAAATTTTTGTGGTTAATCATACCTAAAGAAATAATGGATTTATTATTCGTTAGAAGTATGAATTGTATCGCAGAGTAGAGTACTTATTTACATCTCATATTAAAAAAAAACAATAATAAAGAAATAATCTAAAGTACATATGCGTTATTATCAACTAAATAATAACTTCTTCTGTTCGCCAACGTTGTACAATTTATAATACTGTTTCTTAAAGAATCTGAAAATTCTCGTAATATAATATTCTCCAATAAAGAAACTTTATTGGAGAAACGAAAGAAAGAAGGAAAGAAACGAAATAATCTGAAATTTATGATTCTATTAAGAAATTTATTTTCACTTCACGACATATTGTTGGGGAAGAAACGAATGAATTTTGTGAATGATTCATTAAATTTACGAACAAAGCAATAGGTTAAAAGGTTACCAGCATTATTATAAATAGTTAAATATGTATATCTTCAAAATATTAATATGTTCAAAATACTTAACCATTTAATTAAGATGATATTAACTATTTGATAGGGATTAAGATATTTAAATGGATTTATTTTATATTTTGTGCCAAGATTTTGTAAAAAAAATCATCCTAAATATTCGTCTATTAGATTTTATTTATTTACATCTCTGATCAAACTTAAGGTTAGTTTAAATTTTCCAAGATTGCATAACGTTATCGATTTGCACTTTGACGTATGTCCAAGTTTGCACCAATGTTACGAAGTATTTGCGATTCCGTTCACCCCAAACTTTTATTTGTTTTGGGTAATAATTTGGATTTCAAGGTCTGCTGTGTCCATCGTCCCTTTAACAAGTCAACGCGGCATTAACAAAATCTTAGCATTGTTTACAAAATTCCGAATTGCTAACAAAATTTTGTGTTGCTTTCAAAATTCCTAATAACCAAAAAGCTCAACCAACTACTACATGTATTGTATAATTAGACTTGCAATATTCCAAATTTCAATTTCGAATGAAATTCTTTGCATTTTCTTGAAAAATTTCTTTTGGAATTGGCAACATTTGTTTATCACTATGACGAATAATTAAGCAATACACTACGAACCTTTAATAAGTACCCTAATTCCATCGTGGTAAACTAATATGGAAATTGCAATTATTTTGCAAAACTCAAAATGTTGGAAAACTGGGGTCAGAAATCGAGGCAGCGGCCAAATTCTGGTACAACATAATTTTTAAAATTATTTCCGGTGATATTTGCCCAAAATTTGGACGAGTTTGAGTCAAAATCCAAAATTAGCAAAAAAAATTCGCACATTTTTGCTCGTATCGCGAAAACTGAATATGCGACACCCCAATATTATTACGGATTTTTGATCTACTCAATTTTACGCAACTTTTAAGGTATCTAGCTTGAAAATCGTTAGAGCGCGAAAAAAACACTATTTCATTGTATATATCTATCTTAATAAAGTCCAGTCGTGCCTATCCTAACGACCAGTTTGGGCACGTCATGTCACTCCATGCTTTCGCCCGTCCTCCCAACAACTCACTTTCTCCTCTGGAACAAGGTAACCCTGTCACGTGGACAACCCGGATTTCGATAATTGGACACATTTTCTTGTACATAGGAAATAAAGTGCATAAATTTCGTCCCACTGAAAAAATCCCCGTCTTGCCCCCGGCCAACGTCCCTTCTCCGCAAAGTCGTCCCAACACGACTCAAACGAAAACGAGTCAAAATGAACATGAACCAACAATTCGATTGCAATTCTTTCTCCTTCAACAATCTAATTTTATCTCAGATCACGTCCCGCCGCCAACTTCTCCTCGCTCGCCCAACTTTCCCTCCGTCTTCCGGTGAAAGTAAGCACAGGGAAAAAGTTGCATCTTATTTCATTTCACGCTGCAGTGCCGTCCACTCCACGAGGAATCCTTATCCTCTCGTGCGCACAGAATTTCAAATTTTTCTTCCAGAAATCACA